CCCCCCCCGGTCTAAAATCTGGATTTGGTATTAAAATCGAGAGTTTGAAAGGACTGAAGACGTAGTTTCAAATGAAAAAGCTTGGCATGTTAAATTCACAACGGATTTATGTAGTAACTAGTAGAGTAGGAAACCCTTGGAAAAACGACAATATCTACCTCGTTGTTATTTAGATAAAAGCTCTAAGGGTACCGATTTGAATCGAACATTCCACGCTTGTAAATGGAGGGTCATTTGAAATTACGTCTACAATCTCATAAATATTGCGAGCAAAACGTTTTTTCTAAATGTTGCTAGTTTAGGTTCAGCAAGTTTGACCCTGCAGTTCATGAAGGAGCTCTTCAAGATTTGAAAAGCGGAGGAGCAGGGGGAGAAGGTTCGGTTGGGGAGGGAGAATACAGGAATAGGAAATCCTACATGACGACCGGATCCCTAACCATCTTCTCCGATATGCCCGAGGTACAGCTTTCAGACAGAAATAGAAAAATTAAACTTGAAATCATAATTCCCTCCTTTTTAACGCAATGATGTAGAATTTTAAAAAAATTAAATCTGAAAACAAGTCTGTAAAGGAGGTTTTTTCTTCATTGTTACTTCTTCAATGGATTTACATTATATCCTGGTAATTTAAACTAACTAAATTTATAATTAAATTTTTTTGAAATATGGTTGACCTATAATTAATTAATTGATTATTTAGGTTAAAACCTCGGGACCCAGCTCTCTTCCGAAATAGACAGAAATATATCTTCTAGTTACACTAATGCATAGAACACGGGGCCTGCTTGCTTCATTGATTACTAAGGATGCAGTTTGGAAAACTTCAAGTAACTGTCGGTTATATGAGAATTATTTTTGAAGTTCTGTCAGCTTTAGCTTTAAAATAACATTTTTTACAAATTTTCTTTGAAACATAGATAATTTTATAATACAACCATGTGACCACCCACCCCTGTGCTAAAATAAGTAATTGTTGTGTTTTGAGATTGAAAATTTTCATTTTTATACTTTTATATTTCTCTGTTACTTATTCTATCCCCTACAATATAGTAAAGTTTATCGACTATTCAGTATTTAAATATAGATATATATAATATACATATTCCGTTCTGTGTTATTCCTTTCCTGGCATCCTTATCCCTTCCATAAAACTTGTTTTTACCCTTTTTAGCCGCACTTACTATGCTATATTTTTCAATGATCTTGTTCACATCGTCCGCCATCCCACCTCATCAATCCTCTTCCGCCCTCCCACCTCATCAATCCTCGTCCGCCTTCCCACCTCATCAATCCTCGTCCGCCATCCCACCTCATTAATCCTCGTCCGCCCTCCCACCTCATCAATCCTCGTCCGCCCTCCCACCTCATCATTCCTTGTCCGCCATCCCACCTCATCAATCCTCGTCCGCCTTCCCACCTCATCAATCCTCGTCCGCCCTCCCACCTCATCAGTCCTCGTCCACCCTCCCACCTCATCAATCTTCGTCCTTGTCCTATGTCCCCAAAGAGAAGATTTATACTTGTTATTAAATTTGATTAGAAATTAATTTAGAATAATTTTTACTACTTCGGCAAATAAATTTAATGTTTAGGCCTTAAAATACTATATATGCCTAATAGTTTCATTAACCTCATGCCGTTGATGTTATGCAATTTATTGTTATCTTGTAAATATTATGTAGAAAAATATTTTTGCGCATTTTTATATAAATATTTGTGTAACCTAATCAAAACTAGCTGTAATTTAACTGTAATTGAATGAATATACTAATACCATGAAAAATAAATGCACTTATATATTTCTAGCGTTTTTTCAGATAATAATGTTGAAAAATGGATTTTGTCAACTTTGTAATTTAAGATTTAAACTAAGGGCGGAACATCTCCGCCACAGATGGTTCCAAACAAATGCAGATGTAGTTAAAGAAAGTCGGACTAAGTTTAATGTCAATATCCAGTCAACGGCGGAGACGCGATATCATCTCACAACTGTGGCGGCAGATACGAGGCTTAATTATAAAAAGACAGCGGATTCATCTTATATAGTCAAGAATACGATAAAGGGCGAATACACTCCGGCGAAACCTCTCCGCCCTGTGAAGGGAAAATCCTCCGAGAATCCTGTAAAAAGATTTGTCGACTGGACTGAGGTTGGGATTTCATTAATCTAATCTATTATGACGATATGTAAGGGAGAACACATTAATAAATAAGATTTATCTTTTTTAGAACTTCGCCCTCTAGTATATTCCAGACGCAGCGTTCGGCCCCTAGCTGCAGCGCTCGGTTTCGTTGCAGCCTTTGCGCTTCAGACGGCCTATCATAGAATAAAAGAAAAAATGCTGATACTTGGTTTTAAAAAAATTTTCTGGAGATTGATCATTCCGTAATTTTTTTGGAGATGATTTTTTCTGTATTTTGTATTTCTGTGGTTTTTCTTTATGGAGATTGTCATGGCACTGTTGTGTTGAAAAGTTCTTTCACTCGAAAGTTACAGTTTTTGACAAAGCTTTTTTACAATTTTTTGAAAAAATGATAGACCATTACTGTCTATTATTTTAGGTCCGGGTATCTGGAGGAAAGGGTGGAGATGGAAGAATATCTTTTCTTTCGGTTTATTTAGTTGAATTTGCAGGTTTTCTACACTTTTAATCATTATGTTCGTTTCTCTTCTTTTTTTAATGCATTAATAATACAATTTTTATTTATTAATTTAACATTAAAATTGTTATTTCTTTCATAAATACAATTGAGTGTATTTGATTATTCATTTTTATTTGACTTTTTTTTTCTAAAACCACAGGGTAACCAACAATAATTAAATTAATTGCGTTAATTCTAACCTTCAGAGTAAATTCGATGGTCTTGCATAGGATTATTAACTATATTTTTACCCCGAAAGTCGCTTCCTTTATTGAAACTCATTGTGGGTAACTATGGTTTAACATTGTTATTTACATTTGACATATTATTACAATTCCAAACTATTTATTTTCTAGGTCCAGATGGTGCAGATGGAGGTCATGGGGCTCACGTCATATTTACAGCAGACTCCAGGGTTCGTTGTTTATTTGACTATATTGTTCCTGTTTTTTTTGGGGATATTAGCGCCTACGTCTTTGGGTTTGTCGCGTTTTCTTCTATTATGTTCATTATAACGATAGATTTAGGTAAATAGTCTTATGGATGATAATCAAAATGGGGAAACGTAACGTGCTTTTTCTTTTTCTTCGATTGGTTTACTAATAATGAAAAAAAGTTCTAAGAAGTAAAAAAAAATATTTGCAAAAAAAAATGTTCAATTGTAAATTTTACTTTGCACGAATATTTTGGTTTTTCATTTATGGAATTATGTCATTTTTAGAAGAAGGATTTATCCCATCTGAAGTTTGAGATCAAGGGAGAGAACGGCAGAGCTGGTAGAAACAAGGATATGCATGGTGCAGATGCTAAACACAGGTCAGGGGATTCAGGGGGTCTGAATATACAGGAGGTCAAGGTATCCGGTAGGTTAGAGGATCCTTGAGGTCATTGGTTATGAGAGGTCAAGGTCTTCAGGTGGTCCGATAATCTAAGGAGTCGATCTCCGGGAGGTCAGGGTCTCAAAGAGGATACATGAGAGTCTACTGGAGGTCAGGGGATACGAGAGGGTCTTCAAGAGGATACATGAGGATCTCCAGGTCATAGGAGGTCAGGAATCCAGATTCCAGAAGGGTAGAATCTGTAGGAGGTCAGAGGTAAAGGTTTCCGAGAGGTCAGGGTTTTCAGGAAGTTAATGTTTCCAAGAGGTCGGGGTCAGTATTAAACAGTGGTCTACGGAAATGTTCGCAATGGGTCAACTATATAAAAAGGAGTGGGTCTGAATATGTAAATATGTATGCATTGCATGTATGTGTGTACACTACACTACAGGGGTATGTGCGGGCCAAACATAAACTATAAATGAGATGAAAATATGTCGGGCAATTAAACCGTCTATCGTTAAGATAGGGGTCGACTTCAGAGGTCACAGAGCGATTCAGGTTACTACGAACTTATGGACATTGGACACGATTCAGGTTACTACGAACTCATGGACATTGGACAGGATTCAGGTTACTACTAACTCATGGACATTGGACAGGATTCAGGTTACTACGAACTTATGGACATTGGACAGGATTACCACTGACAATTTACTCAGTTACCAGAAGTCGGAACTTAAGTGTAAAATACTGTTAATTATGAACACTCGATCCCGATATCCAATGTCGGCACATATGATTTAAACCCTAAATTAAAGTATGGCGAACACGGGATATCATAGAGGAATTAAATTAATCCGCGGGTCTTGATAAATTGGAGATCAATGATTAATGTAGAGATCTCACTTCAGATCGTTAGTTCAAGTCTCCATTTAATTTATTCTAGTTTTATTTTAGAATAGTTCCTGTTCCAGTAGGAACTATTGTACGGAACCTTGAGGGGGAAATGGTTTGCGATCTTTCCAAGGAGGGTTGTATGTTTATAGGTAACAAACTAAGGTTATTATCCGGATTTTCAGGGTAAACCTCACAAAAGGGCCATTGGCATTTTTTCAAAGAATTTTATTTATGTTTCAACATGTACATTGTACTCGTCTTAAAAGAATCTCCTAATTAAGAAAAAAACATTATTTACCGGACGTTTGAATTAAAAAGATAAATTTTCCCTTTTTAATCAAAGTCTTCAGCGTCATTTACGATGGGTCAAAAGCGATTATCCCCCTTTTTGATGTCAATTATGGATTAGTTTATTAACTTCTATCTTTAGCGGCCAAGGGAGGTGCGGGAGGGAAAGGAAATGCAAGCTTTAGAACATCGGTTAACCAGGTATTTGTTATTTTAATTTGTAAAAATTAAATAATGTTGTTTTAGTATAAAAGAAACTGATGAACCCAGGGGTAAATATATTTTCTTGAAAAGTAACCTATCAACCTTTTTAATTTTTTTGTTAATTGGGAATGGGAAAATATTTTTAAATTTTTTTATTAAAAATAGAAAAAAAATCTTGCCAGTTGATCTCTAATTTTTTATTTTTTCCCAAATTGTCAAAAACTACTTCAATTCTTGAAAATATTTAGCCCTGTGAGAGCCAACTAATGATAAAGCAGAGAGAAGACGTTTGATAAATTGATTAACGTTTATTTCAGTCTTGATTGTTTTTGAAGAGAATAGTTTCCGTTTTAAGAATCTAATTATTTAGGCGCCTAAAATATCAGAGGTTGGGGCAGATGGAGAAGTTTATGTTTATACTCTAGAACTTAGGTAAATACACCCTGTTACTGTATATTGTCAAGGGTTTAGGATGGAGAAGTTTATGTTTATACTCTAGAACTTAGGTAAATACACCCTGTTACTGTATATTGTCAATGGTTTAGGGTGGATAAGTTTATGTTTATACTCTAGAACTCGGGTAAATACACCCAGCTGCTGTATATTGACAAGAGTTTAGTTTAGGGTTGAGAAGTTTTTGTTTCTAGAACTTAGGTAAATACACCATGCTACTCAGCTACTGTAATTGTCAAGGGTTTAGGGTGGAGAAGTTTATGTTTGTACTCTGCTACTGTATATTGTCAAGAGTTTAGGGAGGATGTTTGAGGTCATTTAAGTCTCAAGCATTGACAAGGCCATCAAAATAACCTATAAATGTTGCTAGCTTGTAAATTGAATATTTGTAATGCCAGGGCGATAAATGGGGTTGATTCATTTAAACTGAGTCGGTATCAGTAGAGTGATCACTAGGGATTAAAAAAAAATCCATTTTTGTTTAATTTGATTGTCTATTATAGTTTAGTTTAATTCTCAAACGTTAAAAAATTTAATCAAAATATTGTTAATTCATTAATTTTTAGAATAATGGCTGACATTGGGTTAATTGGATTTCCTAATGCTGGAAAATCTACTCTTTTACAGGTTTGGAACTTTTTCAGGGTTTATTTTATTGAAAATACCTTTTTTTACTAATATGGGGTCTTTTTACACTTAGGACGCTGTTTCGAGAATTTATTTTCTCATTATTTTCTATTGTATGATATGTATTCATGTAACCCTTACATTTTTTATTTAGGCAATCTCTCGAGCGAGACCAAAGGTTGCAGCATACCCATTTACAACTTTGAATCCTCATATAGGTGATTATATTTACTCAGCAAATTTTTCATTTATTAAAATAGATTCTTACAAATAACTTATCAACGGTTCAGTCCATTTAAGATGGAGGTCTTACTCTTCGTTAAAGAATTTTGATTCATATTGTTCCGTCTTTTTTTCTGAAAAATTTGACTCGACGACTTTCCTAATATTAAAACAACTAATGAAATATATAATAAATGGAAATTCTTAAATTAAAAAGTTTATTTATTGCTACTTGTATTACGTGTATTTGCATTTTTTATTAGGCATGGTAATGTATGATGACCTAGATCAGCTAGCAGTGGCCGACCTGCCTGGTCTTGTACCTGGAGCAAGTAAAAACAAAGGTTTAGGACACGCATTTCTACGCCATGTTGAAAGATGTCGTCTTCTTCTTTATGTAATCGATCTCAGTGCCACAAATCCGTTAGGTAAGCATTATCATGCCGGGGGGGGGGGGGGGAACTTCAGCATATTTTATGCTCCTGCTCAACAACAGTAGTTGAATAAAAATTAATCAGTTGAAGTGAGAAATTGTTGGTAACTTGCCTTTTTGTAACAAATTATTTTGGTTTCATGTCAATTTGTCATTTTATTTTAAATTGTCAGGATGATGGTTGACCGGGTGTTGTCGCTACTACTTACATGGCGGGGGGCGGGGTTCATCTACATATATATCTGTCTAGTCCAAACAATTACTTTTGTAGATCAGTTGCGAGACCTTCAATATGAACTCGAGGAATATTCTCCAGGTTTATCCCTCCGACCCTCGGCTGTAGTTGCAAACAAGATTGATCTCCTCCAGTCCAAGGATACTCTAGATCTACTCAAGGAACGACGATTTACGCCTTCTAATGAACGGATACCAACTCGTATATTTAGCTTTAAAACCGTTAAACGGTTCAACAAACTGGACCTTTTTAAAGGATTTTGTATCAAAGTTTTGGAGAAATCTGAAAAATTGAAAATTACCTCTTTTTGATTCTTATTAAAACTTTACTTATTTCACTGCTTAACAAATCAGTCACTTTTTAACGTTAAATTTGTTTACCAGAAATCTTATATTTTCCATAAAGGCTCAATTTCAGCCTTGAAATCCGCAGTAAAAATTAGGTTGACTATGTTCTTCTTTGTCTCTAAACCTTTGGACTATAACTGACGCAAAAAAATTAATGGAGAAAAAAAATTCTGACTCAATTCATCATAACATTAATTAAAAATAAACTTTGAGCGGTATATCATCCCCCCGATGATATACCCTCAAACATTTTGCAGGACATTTTTTCCTAAAAGTGATTTCAGCCTCTTGTGCTTAAAGGGACTGTTAGAGAAATGTCAAATTACCCTCCATGCGAAGAATAGCTACGTCCGATTTACAACGGTACTCTTGAAACCTTAATCTGATCAGAAATCTGACTAGAAATTGTTTATTTCTGTAAATTTCTCTCCATTGATCTTTTAGGCAAGATATTGGCAAGTCACTTTCGCCGAGAAACCCCAAATAAAGATTAACAGTTTATATTAACAAAACATGGCTATTTAATTCATAATTGGTTAAACTAAGCTTTTTAGGGTACCGTTTTAAATCGGGCATTGTCATCTTTGCAGTGAGGGTCCTTTAATAATTCCTGAAAGATTCGGAAAGCATTGTTGCATCTTTTACATAGTTATAATGTTATAAATATTGTTGTTCTAGACCTGTGATATGGAGGTGATTCCGATATCTGGGAAAACAGGGTTGGGTCTTACTCAGCTCCTGACTAGAGTCAGGGAGGTTCATGATACTACCCTGTTAATACAGGAGGAAGCGGAGGAAGATTTTTGATAAAAATTTCTGACTTTTATTTGCATTAATTTTACCAAAGTGTAGTTTATTCTATTTTTGTGATAGTCAAAAAGCGATTGTAAATGATTTGAACTGTAACGCCTACAAAAAGATTGCACATAAAGAAATTGAATTTTTCTAATAACCCTAGGAAAAAGAGGAAACTAAAAAATCAATTATTGTATGATTTAATGGCGTGAGCGTCAAATTTATAATTTTTTTGCGAAAAAAATTTACTAGGATGCTATGGCTAAGCATAATTCACAAATTGAATTTCAAAAACAACTTACGCTGACAAAATTTTCTTTTTTATATTTATTTTCAGAAAAAATGGCGCAGCTAAATAAATTGGATTTCTTTAAAATTTTGGAAAATGCCCAGAAGGAGGGTTCGGAAACCAGCTTTCCAGATGTAAATTTTCAATTTTTCGACAAGGTTAAACATTTTTATTTTAATGTCAATTCTTTTTTATTCTGGAACAGGGATGTTATTTAGTTAGTCAGGGGGTTGTTTATGTTTATGGTTATTTTGGAAGGAGGCTCGGGAATGGGAATGATGGTAGACTGTAAGTGTAAGGTGCTGATTTACAAATATCTCTATAAAAGATAATACAGTTTTAGGGATTAATCTTTAAAAAAAAATTGATTAAATTAAACTAGAATTTATAAACTTAAGTTGTACCCACTTATTTCTGTTTTTCCCAGAGTTATCCTGTTCGAATTTTTTTACTGATTAGGGCAGAAAAATAAATTTCCTTTTTCTTAAATAGATAGTAAAACGGATAGACATAATTAGTTGGAATATCGCTATAGAAAATACTGGTTTAGAGCAAAACTAATTTTACCCAAACAAACTTTATTCTCTTTTTGCCTTTATTTTTTTTTTTACCTATTTTCGCGCTTTTTCCTTTTTTGAATTTTTATCATTTGTTTTGAATAATAGTATATTTAAATTATCCTGCAGTATACAAAGTATATTCCTTGTTTGTTTAGGATAATGAAGATGTCCTTGTTGGGTCTATTCAAGCACATAAGTTTCTGCTCTCGTTGGTATCACTGGTGTTCAAACAACAGTTCTTTGGAGCTTTTGCATCTTCTGAACAGGAAATAGAAGTGGTCAAGATTGAAGATTGCTCTTATGAAGCATTCAAACTGATGATTGAACTCATCTATGACGACCCTTATGATAAACAAGAGAAAGCATTTCTTTGCAGAGACGATTTTGGACTGCTATTTGAACTACTGATATTGGCTGAGAAATATCAGATAGAAGGTACATTGAATATTGATATATTAACATTGAATAAGATTTTACTGGAATATGTTTTAGGTTTGTCTTATTTAGTGAAGTCAAGACTAGAAACTGTACCCGTGTCTGTTTCAAATGCTCTGAAGGTTCTTGAAATTACTGAACAGTATAAGGATCTTCTGAACTTTGAAGCAACCTGCTTTGCGCTGAGTAGAAGAGTTGCTAGAGCTGTTTGTAATAGTTGGAAGTCTTCTGCTGACGTTCTTAGCTTCTGGAGTTTAAACAAATCTAAAACAGAATTGATAAATGTGTTATTCGAAAAATGTTCTCTGTTAGCCGTAGAAGGGATCTTTAATAATAAGGTACTGAATAGAAATACAACATCTGGGCTTTTGTTCCCAAATAATCAGGCACAAAATACTACAACTGGATTCTCATTCTCATCTCATCAGGCACCAAATACAACATCTGGGCTTTTGTTCTCAAATAATCAGGCACAAAATACTACAACTGGATTCTCATTCTCATCTTATCAGGCACTGGTTAAAACACTTAGGATAAGGAATTTCAAGTTAGTAGAAACATTTTTTCATAAATTAATTAATTTATAGGGTTATATATTTAGAATAACTACCTGCTACTTTTCAAACATTCCTAATATAATGGGGGGGGGTTAAGATTTAAAAAAAATACCCTATTAAATAACTACCTCCTACCTTTCAAACATTCCTAATATGATGGGGGGGGGGGGTAGGATTATAAAAATACTCTATTAATTAACCTCAACAATAAATACTTAGGCTGAAGAGTGTAGATTACCAGAAAATTCTTGAACACCTAAATGCAGAGAATACTGAAGAAAAATTCCATGTTGTAGAGTTCAAGATACTAGATCAGGTTTGAAAATGTGTTTTAGTTGTACACCAGTTCCAGCGTTAACTGCACGTTAGTTTTAATCCACTGAATCTAAGTTGTACAGTTGCACCACTGTAATTTAGTCTACTCAGTAATTTACTAGTAAATTAAAAAATATATCTAAGCTTGTTTATATTTAGGATGGTAAAGTGGAATCAATAAGAGCAAACAAACTTCTATTATCTTTGGTCTCATTTAGTTTTCGATCAAGTTTCTATAGTGTTGCATCGGTGAAGAATAAGAAAGACGAGGTGCATGTCTTAACTGTTGAGAACGTTCCACCCAAAGAGTTTAAAACCATGATCAACATCATCCATGAGTCTAAAGACGAGAACATTAAAACAGAGGTCGGGAAGATGGACCTTAATTCTCTACTTGTGTTACTGACGCTGTTTAATAAGCATTTTTTAGCAGGCGAGTCAAATTTTTTTCCTTCAAGAACTTACAACTTAGAAATTCAGAATTATAAAAGAATTGTAAATAATCCAATTTTCAACTTTATGATAAACTATTCATATTTTAGGGTTTAGTGAAATTGTAAGGTACAGAATTAGTCAAATCTCTTTATCAGCTAAAAATGCAATCGAAGTTCTAGCAGCCATCAAGAGATATGAAAATGACTCAAATCTTGCTTCAACCTGCATTGATCTGAAACAGAGATTAACAAGAGCTGTCAATAGTTGGTCATCACCCGCCGATGTGCTGAATTTCTGGGCGGCTAACAGGAACAACATAGATCTTGTCACTGAAATGTTCGATAGTTGTGTTCTAGCAAACAAGAATATGAATTTTTCAAAATAAAAGTTCTTTTTTAAGGGTTTGACGACGAAAAAATGAAATTTTCAGTTGTTGCATGCAGATTTGGCTGTGTTCAATTCAAATCTTTTTCTTTTCTTGTGTTTTTAAAAACATTTATACTTTCAACAGCTGTAAAATTAACGATATGAGTCAGTCAATTCTTTTCATGTGTGCGCGGAGCGCCAAAGAAAATTTGTTGTTAAGTACCTTGTTTAATCACAGATATAATTACAAGAAATAATCATTTATATATTTTGAAAAAAAAATACATCAAAATACATATATAATTTTAATCATCTACGTTGATAAGGGACAGATAATGTTACGTTTTCTCCTAAAGTTATTTAATATATTATTAATCATTCTAACCAACATTCATAATCTTATTTCATTTTCGATTTTATAGAAGTTCGTTTAAAGAAGATAAACAGGTTATCACTTACTTACTTGGAATACTTGATGAGTTATCCCCAGGACTCCAGGTAGGAGCATAACCGGAATTTCAGTTAGGTCCTCTCGGAGAAGTGATCAAGTCCCCTAGATTTACGTCCTCCTTCTGTAACCTCTTCCACACTAATCCTAGCATAGTAATTCAAGGTGTTAAAGATGGGCGTCAAGTAGAGATTTAAAGATATTTAGAGATTTTGCATCCTTGATTTCAGTAGGTAAATTGTTCCATAGGTTTGCTATCCGGTTTGAGAAGAAGTTGCGTGAAAGATCTGTCCTAGAATGCGTTGGTACCAAGTTATCCTTGTAAGACGTCATTCTTGTTTGTCTTGTAACATCTGAGCCGACCAAAGTAAACCAAGTCCCCTTCTCTACTTTATCATAACCTCTGAGTATTTCAAATGTCTGAATAAGATCAAATCTAACTCTCCTTTGTTCCAGTGACTGGATACCAAGTTCCTGTAGTTTTTCCATGTATGTTTTACCCTTGAGTCCTGTTATTTGATTAATTGCTTTGATCTGAACTTTCTCTTGGGTGTCCCTATCTCCAACTGTCCATGGGGACCAACCAGTAACTGCAAACTCAAGGTGACACCTCACAAATTGTGTGTTAAGCCTAAGAAATGTAACTCTATCACGATACAAGAATGCCTTAGTTATTTGGGTAGACTCCAGTAGCTCTCCGAGCTGCCTCTGCACACTGTAGAGAAGATGTTAAGGAATTTTCCACTACAACGCCGATATCTCGCTCTTTGTCGACAGATTCCAACACCAAACCATTCATTTTATATTCAAATTTTTTGTTTTGTCTGCCTAGATGTAGAACTTTGCATTTTAGAACATTAAAATCCATGCACCAGGTGTCTGCCCAATCAATTAGTTTGTTTAGACATCCATCATTTCTGACTCTGTGACCCAGTTTGGTGTCGTCAGCAAATTTCTTCAATATACTTATTAGTTCAGCAGTCCAGTCAATGTCATTTATATAAATTATGAAAGCCAGGGGGCCGAGCATTGAGTTTTATGGATAAAGTGATATTGTTAGAGACACTGCGATCTGTTCATATTCATGGGTTAGGCATTCCTTTGAATTCTGGAATAAAAAAATTTACTTTGAAATGCTCAATTTAGCAAAAATTGAAATAATAATTTTTTTGGTGATTAAATTAAAGACAATATAAGGCAGCTGTAATATTCACCCATGTTATGCATTATGCAAATTACAATTTAAGAACTAAAATGTTGAACGTTTTTGATTATTAATTAATGGGCATTTTTATTTGGTTTTTGCTTTAATTTGTTGAATTCGAAGCATTTTCAGTTTGTTTATTTTTTTCAAAGCTTTATACATGGATTTAATGTTACAAATTTGAAGAAATTTTTGAAGACCAATTATCCCAGAACAGCCAATAACAGGCCACTCTTCTTTTGCTTCACTTTCCCCACTTTTACCTGGTGTCTCAGATTCCAAATTTTTACAAGAAAAATGTCCTGCTTAAAACTAAGGGAGAAAGTTGGAATTTATATAAAAATAGACTGCAAAGGGGAGGGAGACTAAGTTTTCATGAATTTCATGGTTCAGAGCAAGGAACCAAAAATTGAAATTAAATTAAGCTGAAATCCTTAACATTTAGTTAGTAAATATTGAAATGCATTATTTTTCATGTTTTCAGAAAAGCATGACTTATTCTATGCACATTTTTCAGAGAAACTCAAATAATGGCACAACTCAAATCGGTGAACTTTGCGAAGGTCTTGAAAAAGGCCCAGGAACCAGGGAATGTTCTTGCTGGTTGTTTTCCTGATGTCAACTTCAAAGTATCTAAGGAGGCAAGTCAACAAATATAATTCAAATTCAAAAATTCCTGGTTTTCTATGTTTAGGAAGAGGTCCTTGGAGGGTCAATAAAAGCTCACAAGTTTCTCCTTTCCTTGATTTCTCCAGTATTCAGAAACCAGTTCTATGGATCGCTTGCAAGCACTCACCAGGAAATAGAGGAGGTGGAGATTAATGATTGCTCCTATGTAGTGTTCGAGCAGATGTTGAAGCTTATTTATGATGATACAATGGATTTTTATGAGAAGCATATCCAGAACAGTATTGATGTGGAACTGCTGTTTGAGTTGCTACGGCTAGCAGATAAATACCAGATTGAAGGTAAAATATAGAATTATCTAAAGATAATATTAAAGGCATAATTAAATTATACTTAATTAAGGTTTGGCTGCACTAGTGAAGAACAGGATAGCTACAGTACCGGTGTCCTCTCAAAACGCAGTTTCTAGAAATCATTGAACAGTATAAAGATCTTCTAAACTTTGAGGATATCTGCATAAATCTCAGTCATCGCATCTTCAATACAATGTTTGGTACTTGGAGATATTCCACTGATGTTCTTAACTTTTGGTCTATAAATCAAGACAAGGCAGAGACGGTTGATATTCTGTTCGAGATGTGTTTTTCTATAGCAAGCAAAGGATTGTTTGCTATTGAAAACAAGAATTTTCCAATTAATACAAGTTACAGGTATGCAGAATTTATTTTATTTCAAATGGAAGACGTTATGGTTCAACAAATGTAAAAGAATGCTAACAGAACCCTACAAACTCTCTTTATATCAGTTTGATTGAATAGTGGAGAAGTAAAAACCTACAACAAAAAAATGTTTAAGTAAAAGTTAAAGATGTTTAGAAATTTGTAGGTTAAAAGATGTTGACTATTGTAATCTGTTTGTTGAGCAAGATTTTGAAGGAGACACCTTCCTTGATGTTGAGTTCCATGTTTTGGATAAGGTATGGGGGGGGGGGGTAGAATTAGTAAAGTCATTTCGAAAGTTGTCATGTGGTAGTACGACATCTCTAAAAGTCTGATTTGATTTGATTTTTAGTATGGACTTCATTAATAAGATTTTAGATTAACATGATTCAATAAAAATTGTTGCACACCAAAAACCAGCTTTGTCTGCTAAGGATTATTTTTGCACTTAATCATTTTTTCGGTATAGAAATCCTTTTTATGTTGAATATTTATCATCAGGGAACCCTTCTTTAAATAAAAGGAAATTATCTTTTATTATACATCCATAATAATCCATTTAATCTATTAAGATTTTTCATGATTTTTGCAAAAGCAAAGTTTTTAGTACAACAAGAGTTTAAGTCTAATTTCTAATTTAGAAGGGTCAAGTGGAAAAGATCAGAGGTCACAAGCTACTTTTGGCATTAGTTTCTCCTGTTTTTAAACAAGAATTTTATGGATCTCCAAGTGATATTGTGGATGGGGAGAAGGTTCAAGTTGTTAATTTAAAAGAAGAGTTCCCAGCTGAAGTCTTAAGGATTATGATAGAGTTCATTTATGAAAGTAAAGGGAAGAGCATGAGAGCAGAACTTGGTAAGGAGAATGCTGAGAATTTGTTCATGTTGCTGAACATATCTTATAGATATCTCCTTCCAGGTATTTTTCTTCTTCATTTTCTAAATTAACAAATCCTGACGACATCCCTTTTATCATGATCTTCTTAGCACTCTCTGAGATGGTCATTACAGTAATCCGTGAAATTCCAATCTCATCTGCCAATGCAATTGAGGTTCTAGCAATTACCAAGAAATTTGAAGATCAACCCAGTGTATCTTCAACATGCAGTGATCTGAAACAGAGGCTAGTGACGTCAATGGCATTTAAATTATTGCAAACTCCTGTTGACGTCCTGAAATTCTGGTCTGAGAATAAAGACAATAAAGATCTAGTTTGTGATTTGTTTGCCGAGCTTAATACTCCTGCTCTACAAGCCTATCCTTATAACAATGATCAATGGTAACTTACATGGCCATTGGCCACTAAATCAAAGAGAAGAATTATAATATACTTAAACATTAAAGTTATCATTGACATATTTGGTCTATATTTTATTCTTTGTCTTAAAAATCATGAGAAAATAAATTTTTTCTTCTCTCTTATCAGATGATTTTTTGTAATATTAAAGCTTTTGTTATACTCATATTAATTATCTTCCAAGCTATTAAGGTATTATCAGTATAATGCGCTCAAAGGCTGTTCTTAAATTGAGTTGTTCTTCACAGCCTGAATGCCAGTGAACTGACATTTTTTTATTTTGTATATTTTTTAGTGCAAACTTAGCTATTTTTTTCAGAAATTTAAATTAAAAAATGCTTTAGCCAGTTTTAAATCAGCAAAATTAAGGTAAGGTGGAAAAAAAAGATTAGAAAAAAAACTTTAAATGTTATTTGAATTTTAACATTTTTGGAAAATATATGGTTTTGTGGGGAAAATTTCAAGTTTTTGGAAAGTCCCATTTTATAAAATTGATTATCAAAATGAAATCAATGAGAATAGAAAAATTCAATTTCTTGTGTAGTGGTACATATGACAACTAAATTTATTTTTTAGAGCAAAATGTCGCAGTTAAATCTTGTAAACTTTTCCGAGGTCTTTAAAGATGCACAGGAAACTGGGATAAAATCTTTGTTAGATTGTTCCCCTGATGTTAACTTTCAATTTTACGATGAGGCAAGCAAAATATGTTAAATAAATTAACTTAAAGGGAGTGTTCGCGAAAAATGAAAGGGGGTATAGACTTAATGCGATAAAAAAGCGCTTTTGAACGCTACTAATCTTACTTCTATCTGTTGCGTCTTTAAGGAGAAAATTGATAAAGACATCTCATACCGAAGAGCATAGCGCCCATACAAATTGAGGAAGTTGGAAAATACGACTTAGACCGTAAAAAAATCAAATTAATATCAAACAAATCATTTAGATATTACAACCTATAGTCATGGATTATCTTTTGCCACATTTTTATGTATTTGATATTTCATACTAGTTTTGATTTTGTTTTTTAAACTAATATTTAGTTTACAACTTGTTTTCGAACATTCCTGGAAAATACGAAAATGTCGTCTTCATTACCAAAAAATCCTCGAAACAGGAATAAATGTTTTTATAAGTAACTTTCAGATCATAACAATTAAAACATATTATGAAAAATCAACTTTATATGAATGTGGCGAAAGATAATCGATGACTATAAGTTGTAATATCTGAATGAAATGTTTGAAATTGAATTGATTTTTTTACGGTCCAAGTCGTATGTTGCAATTTTCTCAATTTGTATGGACGCCATGTTATTTGGTATGAGATGTTTTTAACAATTTTCTCCTTATAGACGCAACAGATAAAAGTAAGATTAGTAGCGATCAAAAGCGCTTTTTTATCTCATTAAGCCTATACCCTCTCTCATTTTTCGCGAACACTCCCTTTAACAAAACCAAAACAGATAAAATCAGTGACCAACTATATCTATCTTCACCTAACCTAATTTGAAAAACTAGTAGTGTGTGTAGTGTATATCTATACTATGGGTTGTATTTCAACCTACAGGTCGTTGTACTTTGTCTGTAGGTTGATTGTTAATAATGATAATAATAATGGGTCAAGGTTTAGAGTTCTCACATTAATTCAGACCCAAAAATTAATTTGTTAATATTTAGGAGGGTGTCCTAGAGAGTTCCATCAAATGCCACAAGCTCTTGCTGTCATTGGTATCGCCTGTTTTCAAAAAACAGTTTTTTGGGTCTCTTGCTTCAACCACTGAGAAATTAGAATTGGTAGAGATTAAAGATTTTTCTTTTGAAGGGTTTACACAGATGATGAAACTCATTTATGATACTGCGGATAATATGTTTGAAAAACTGTTCTATGACATTCTTGATGTTGCATTGTTGTTCGAGATACTAAGGCTTGCTGATAAATATCAGATTGAAGGTATAATATTTGATAATTAAGAGGATCATTTGATAACATAAAATCATATGATGTAAATACTAAAATACATTTAAGATTTAGCTGCGTTAGCAAAAACCAGAATAGCTACAGTTCCGTTGTCAGATGAAAATGCCCTGGAGGTTCTTGAAGTTACTGAGCAACATAAAGATCTTCTAAACTTTGAGGAAATCTGCAAAGCTATTAATCTAAGATTAGCTATAACTATGAAAAGCACTTGGACATCTTCTGCTGATGTTGATTCATTCTGCAATCTCTATAAAGACAGGGTTGATCTTGTGAATATTTTGATTAGCAATGTGTACAGAGTTACACTAGACGGACGTGTGACATACCCAAGAATAAAGATTCCTGAAGTTACTACATCTTACATGTAAGAAGACTTTAAACTAAAAATTGATTTAAAAGTTTAATAAACCATGTTCTGTTGTATTTTATGTTATGTTTATTAGGCTGAAGTATATAGACTATCAGAAGTTTCTGGAGCAATCAGAGGAAGAGGAAGAAGAAAGCTTTCATGATGTTGAGTTTCAAATTACTGATAAGGTTAGTGAGCACTGGGCAGGATTAATTCAATAATATTATTTTCTACTTATTCTACTTTCGCATAAATAAATTAAGTTAATACTTGATCTTAAAATCTGAACCATGCCTTTATGTAAAAAATCTACATCTCAGGTTTTTGTTCTGATCTCTTCCATCACACGGTTAAAAAAAACATAACATTTTGTTCGTAATATTTAAGTACTCAAAGCATTATTTTATTACAATCATTTTGTTCAAAATTAGGGTTATCGTATAAATTGTCATATTACTAAAATTCTTTTTGCGATTTTGAATAAAATGTTACAAATTTCTAAATGCTCTCAAGGTAAGTTGAAAATCACCAATAAAATGTTTTTTCTAACAGTGCATTGGGGAAACGACACATGTAATTTTTATTTAGAAAAGTGGAGAGGAATCAATCAGAGCACACAAGATTCTTCTGGGATTAGTTTCTCCAGTTTTCAAGAAAATGTTTTTTGGGTTTCTGAGTCGGCGGACAGATGGTGTTGAGGTCGTCAAGGTTAAAGAAAAATCTGCAAATGTGTTTAAGACCATGGTCAAGTTTATTTATAAGAATGAAAGTGATCTAAGTGAGATTGATCATGAATTTGACTTTAAAAATGTAGATGCTTTGTTTGAGTTGTTTCAAACTTCAACCAAATATCAGTTGACAGGTACATAGATTGAAATGGATAGATAGAGCAGGGTAATTAAACATAGTGACTTCAACTTGTAGGCTTTTTTAACCACTCAAAAAAATATTGATATAAAATCCTTCATATTCCCCAAAAGATCAAATTTAGGGATTGTTAAAAGACCTTTTGCTTTGATCTAAGCCTTTAAACATATTGAGTTTGAAGAAAAATTTGTGTAAAGGGGAGATTCAATTCATTCATTCAATTAAGTATTTACCCCTGTATTAAAGTTAATTATTAAAGGTTTGTGTGCCCTCGTTAAGTCCAAAATTCTGGATTTTCCTGTCTCCACTAAGAATGCTGTTGAGGTGTTTGAAGTTCTTAAGAAGTATAGGGATGAATCCAACCTGTCTACTATATGTGCTGAGTTGAAGGAAAGGCTGATCACTACCCTTGTAACATGGGAATCCCCTGTTGAGGTTCTTTTGTTTTGGACAGAGAACAAGGACAATGAAGATTCAGTGAAGGAAATCTTTGATTGTTGTTTCCTAAGGTATTCTCAAGAGCAGAGTCAGCTTTGTGAAATGTATAAAAAGTTTTATAACTAGTTTTTGTCTTGTGATTTTTCTTCAAGATTTGTTGTATTATTTCCTTCCTGCATAGATTGAGTATATTTTACTTTTTATTGTCTAAAATGCTTACTTTAACTAATCATTCTGTGAAGTTAAATTAGAGCTAGTTGGTGTTTCGAAAATCTGCATTTTTTGCAGTTTTTATATTGAAAAATACAGTTAAGGTATTTACTATTTGTTATGTATTTTTCTTTTCAGAAAGTATTTAAGAATGTCCCAATTTTAATGATTGCTTGAAGGCTTTGAAGAGGCACCGGAAAGTTAAAGCAAATATCAAATAAACTTCTAGATCCACGATAATAGAAACTAGAACGTGTATTCATCTCCTATTTCATAAACTCATTTTAGTTGTGAAAGTTAATTTGCTTCTTCTATAAAGAAAATATAATAACAGCTTACTGCTCTGTTTATGTATTCTGATATTTTAAAACTATTCGTAATCTCTAAAAATAATGTCATCATTGTTCTAAAAGTTTGTAAGATTTCGGTCAAAAACAGTAACATTTCTTTTAAGCAAATATGGTTAGACTTTTGGTTGGCTTTATTTTGGGTGTACTTTTTTATTTGTAAATTTGCTTAAAAAATGGGTTAGTTTTTTTTACGCTCTATGTTTGAATAAATTTCCCTGAACATGATTTAAGATGTTTGTGACTGTAACAGGTATAGTGTACCTAAAGTGATATATATCTGTGATATTATTATCTTGTATATTTTTCAGATTTGTAAATGTAGAAAAAATCGGACGGCTGTGATGGGGGACCAATTATGGATGGTCCGAGAAGCATGTGTCCAGCTAACAGATGGAAAAGTAACAACGAGAAAGGTTAAACTTTTTATTATTCACATTTAGTATTTCACGCTAAACTAGGTAATTGAAACTGTTGTTTACGTTTTGTAAATTTCACGCTTATTCTCATTTATATTCAAAATAGTTTTATATCAAAGGTTACTTATTTTACTCCAAACTAGGTGATCCTATTAATATTCTTCAATAGTTTAATATTTCACGCGAACTCTGGTGTTCCTATTAATATTCTTCAATAGTTTAATATTTCACGCTGAACTCTGGTGTTCCTATTAATATTCTTCAATAGTTTAATATTTCACGCGGAACTCTGGTGTTCTTATTTATATTCTTCAATAGTTTAATATGTCACGCTGAACTCTGGTATTACTATTAATATTCTTCAATAGTTTAATATGTCACGCTGAACTCTGGTATTACTATTAATATTCTTCAATAGTTTAATATTTCACGCTGAACTCTGCTGTTCCTATTAATTTCCTTAAATATTTAACGCTGAACTCTGGTATTACTATTAATATTCTTACACAGCGGAATATTTCACGTTGAACTCGAATAATCTAAATATTAAATATTGTTTAGAAAGCTGAAGGTTCTCTACGGGATCTTCTGACAAACAAGAATATAGTGTCAGCTCTCCACAGTGCTACCGAAAATTCTATAAGTGGGGAGGGATTTACCTGGCGAAATGTTTACTTCGCCGCGCATTCCTTTCTCAGACTCGAGGCGGAGAAAATTAAAACGGTATTTCTTTTTCTTGAAATTTAATAAATGGTTTTCTTGGAATAAAGCAGCTTTATTTGTGTGTTTGTTGTTGTAGCTTAAAGGAATAAATAAGGATTGGAATGAAATGGTGTAGAATGAATGAGTTTAAAATTATTATTCCAAAAATGCAATAAAGAAAACAGAAAAACTAGTTTAATGAACTAGGATTGAATTTAATATACTGAAAAGAAGATTACTATAAGTTTCACAAATTGAAAGAATATTTGACTAAGGATGAACGGAAAGAGAAGCAAAGTAAGAATGCGGTTGGAACCAGAACTAACCGTAGGAGAGAGATAATGTCCCTTTATACGCTTGTCATCAGGAAACCTGGGAAAGGTAGTTCATAAAAAAGTATTCTTATAGCAAATTTCCTCCTTTAAAAATTTGATTTGATTAGCGTTGGTTGTACGTTATCGTCAATAATTTTATGTATTTTTCATGTCTTTAAAAAAGTGATCGGCTTTAACGTTGATAGTTGATACATTGATTCGTTTCTTAAAGTGTAGTTTGTCCTTAACAGGCGTGTAATAGGTCAACTTTTTGTCAATTTTTATTATGATCTTGTTAAAAAAGATCCATTAGAAATAATAATGTTTCTTATTTTAAAACGTTGTGGGTTAAAATCTGGATTTTGAAAGAACTTTCCCTGTAAATACTCCCTCTCTAGTGTTTTCTAAATTTTCCAGACGGATTACGTTGGTCGGTTGTAGCGAGGAATTTACTGGAGTTGTTGGATAATGAATACTTGAAGGAACTCTTTGCTGATGATATTGTTCGTCTTCTTCAGGAGATTATATCAGATCCAACCTGCCAGGTAAATATATCATCGTGATTCAGAGATGGATATTTATGAATGAGAAATGAAGTTTAACTATTTCTACTTCTTCTGTAAGGTTGTTTACCAATATTTTACTGAAACACATCTCTGTTGGTTTGGTTCTGAGGAACCAGGGGGATAATTTATTCTTAAACTGACTTGATTTATTTGCAGATTTTTGCGTTTTATAAAAAATGTCTGTCTATATATTGTTACATTTTTTAAGGCTACCCTTGGTGTATCTGGTTCAGAAGAAGGGCATCAGTGGGAACAGATACTGAATGTAGTAGTTGATCTTCTTATAGAGGTAGACTGTTGACTTGAAAAAGTTGTATATAAATTTTAAATGTTTAATTTAATTTCAATTAAGTAATATTTCTCAGAGTAAATGACATTCTTTCTATAGAGCAGGTTTTAACATTGACATTGTACCTTTATAAAATAATTTAGATAAGCGGAATTCAATGAAAATTGTTGCATACCAAGAAGAAATGTACATTGATTTCTGATAGAAAAGTCTGGCAATAGTCTTAACTAGCATCTATTTGTAAAAACAACAGAAGTGAAAGAAAATTACAAAAAAAAATCACTTTAACTCTGTAACTTTTGGGTTGAGTACTGAAATTTAAAACTGAGCAAGGTATAAATAGGACCCTCGCGTCTTTTTTATGTTTAGAACTCTCTTATCACCCAAATATCTGAAAAGTCCCTTTAAATGTTGTTTTTTATCTTAGGCTCCTGAAAGACTGGATGTCTTTAGTACTGTTCGGTTACTGCGTTCAACTATTAAACATGTAAGTTTTTAGAAAATATCATTTTTATGTGTATCATTATCAACATCAATTTAAATATTATAGTCATTATGTTTATTATTACCGTTATCATTGTAATTATCATTGTCATTCTCATTTTTAATGGTCATTACCCATTGTTGTTATTATTGTTAATGTTATTTATTTTCTTATCATTATAATTATTATTGTTGTTGTTTTTGTTAAAGATATTGTTAACCTTGACTCCTACAGGACGATGGTTGATCATATCTATATAAATGAATTTAGCATATAGAATAAAAATTGCTATATCAGGGTATTGATGTGTGTGAGTTGACCAGGGTGTTATACACCAGTAAGGTGTGGAACTTAATCAAGGGATTACTTACAGCAACTAAACTATCAGCTAGACCTGATTCCCCAACTCAACTAGAGGTAGGCAACGTATCAGCTAGACCTGATTCCCCGACTCAACTAGAGGTAGGCAACGTATCAGCTAGACCTGATTCCCCGACTCAACTAGAGGTAGGCAACGTGTCAGGACTCCTCCTAGACCAACATTTGGGTCAGTTCGACTAACATGAGAATTTTTATCTTTGTCAATTTAGTTTGGAAAATCTACCAATTTTCATGAATATGCCAATAAAGATAAAAACATGTCTGAAGTAGTCATACATACATTATACTCCTAGGTAGACTGTAGACTCCTAGAAATCCAGAGGTCAGAACTTTTGTGTTGTAAATCTCGAAATAAAAGCATTGATCTCCAATTTTTGCAGACTTACGGATTCATTTAATTCCGATTTGATATCCCGTGGACGGTGGTGTTCATATCCTGCAGGGATTTGATATCCCGAGGACGGTGGTGTTCATATCCTGCAGGGATTTGATATCCCGTGGACGGTGGTGTTCATATCCTGCAGGGATTTGATATCCCGAGGACGGTGGTGTTCATATCCTGCAGGGATTTGATATCCCGTGGACGGTGGTGTTCATATCTTGCAGGGATTTGATATCCCGTGGACGGTGGTGTTCATATCCTGCAGGGATTTGATATCCCGTGGACGGTGGTGTTCATATCCTCCAGGGATAACCTTAATTGAGGGATCACGCACTTAAATCCTCAAATTGAGCCCACATTGGATACCGAGATCAAGGGTTCTAGATTAACGATACTCAACATAAAAGTTCCAACCTTAGATAGGAATATAGAAGGAGCAAACAGTAATTAATTTACTCTATCAAGTTAACACAGTTAACATGATTATCAATAATAAGATAAACTATGAATTTCTGTACAGGTTATAGAGGCGGCTACACTGTATTGTCAAATTGCTGCGGTCAACTTCAGGTAAAAACAAACTACAACTATTTCCTTCTTTCACAAGGGGTAGGGTCTTGTATGCGGCCATAGAGTACAAAATATAGGGTGTAGAATGGGTTTTAAAAGGATTTTTGATCTTGATGGTGTCCAGTAGATATCTAAGTTACTTGATTTAGAACCCACAATATTTTAGGTTAATAATAATAATAATAGGCAGTTAAGTCTTGATACTAGGTTTTCACGAGTTAATTTAATTACTGCTTTTGATCGTAAATAGAAAATACTAACTTGATTATCATCTATTTAAAGAATTTTCGGTTTCGTGCAGGAGAGAGGTTTGCAAATTAGGAGAAGAAACTGTTCATTGTGTTCTCCAAGCTTGGGATGAGAGGAATCCTGGAACTAAACCTGCTCTAGACTTTCTTAATCTTCAGATCCTTGTTCATCATCCAGGTTCACATTTGTTTATGTTAATCAATCTTTTAACCTTGTCTTGATATTATTTTAGAGATCCAATTGCTCCTTTTGTGATTATGATTCTCTTTAATTCTTTTAATTTTCGCATTTCTCGTTGCCTCCATCCCGGCCTTTTAACTAGAAGCACATTCTTTTCTTCGGTTGTTTTTGTTTTACTTAAATACTTGTTTCGTTTTAACTTTCTATTCATTTTCTATTTTACTAAATTACAACCTTTGTTCAGCTTTCATTTTCGCAATGACTTTGTAGTTTCATGGGACTTTCCATTTTAAGACGGGCATCGCTGATTCACAATGGTGGTACCGTTAATCCTTTATGTGATTAAGAATGTGAAGGATTTACTCGTTTTTCCGGCTTAAAGTGATTAATTCTGACAATATCATCTTTTGTTTCTGCTGCACAGATCTGCAAGTCACTTTCTCAGAGAAACCACAATTAAAATAATTAATTTCTAACGATAAAAATATTTTGATACCTCATTCGTTCTTGATCAGAATAAGCATTATATGGTAAACGTTTTAATTCGACCGTGGCAATTTATCAACCCAGAGGCCGAATTTAAAGAATTTGAGCAACGATTTAAATTTAAGCTGTGGCTCATATATGGTTGGTTCCACTTAAAATTGTATTCTTTTTTTAAAGATTTAAGCCGGTGCTCAATAAAACCGGTTTTGGGGGATTTTGAGACGCAGCTTAAATTCATTAAATTCGAACACAGAATCACATAAAATTACGTCTACAGTTCCTATACGAGATTTTGTCTCCTGTAGGTGGTGCTAAGGATGTACGAAGTGGATCTCTTGTCTGTAATCAGGAGCAGTGGCATCACCAGCTTTTGAGACTTCATCAGAATGTTGTTGAAACCAGTATCAGGAAACCTAGATAGAAACCTTAATTAAACATAGAAACTAGAACTTAAAAACCTAGATAGAAACCTTAATAAAACATAGAAACTGGAACTTAAAAATCTAGATATAAACCTAAATAAAACATAGAAACTAGAACTTAAAAACCTAGATAGAAACCTTAATAAAACATAGAAACTAGAACTTAAAAACCTAGATAGAACCTTAATAAAATATAGAAACTAGAAATTAAAAACCTAGATAAAAACCTAAATAAAACATAGAAGCTAGAACTTAAAAACCTAGATAGAACCTTAATAAGATATAGAAACTAGAACTTAAAAACCTAGATGGAACCTTAAGAAAACATAGAAACTAGAACTTAAAATATGTTAGTTGGCCCTAAACCTTATGATTTCTATTTCGTCTACTATATATATATTAAAGGGACAGTTGGTAATTTCTAGCGACCCTTTACAAAGATGACAATGCCTGATTTACAACGTTACCCTTGAATTATTTGTGTGATAAAGTATGAATTAGATATAAATGTTTATAATTTTTAGAAAAGATTTTTTTCATTTGGATTCTTTACAAAAAGGACTTGCGTATTTCTCTACTGCTGAAAAATTCTAGATGCATACAACACGTTTAAACCTAGAACACAAAATAGATCAGATAAAGATTTCAAGAGCATTGTTGTGAATCAGCACTGGCATTAATCAGTATGGAGGGCCTCTTGAAACTACGCTTACAGTCCCTTTAACCACAAAGAAACTTGTTGCAGATTTTCATTTTCATGGGTTAGGAATAAGCTCCGTCAGAACAAGGCTCGAGGATCCCGCTCTGTGAGTGATTATGAGTTGGAGGAAACCTTTCTATCCTTCTCCGTAAACCTACTCCGACAAACTCTAACCAGAGAACTTGAAACCTGTAACGTAACTCAGCTTGTACCTCTTGACACAACACAGGTTTGTTGAATTTTGTGTTTTTCTAACAACTTCGTTTCGATTAAAATTAATTTTTTTTAGAACGAAGCTCCACCATCAAAACGTCTCCGACTAGATCTTGTCAGAGAGAATGGATCTTTAGAAACAAGTTTCCGTTCTTTACTTGAAAAGATTCAAACCCACACGGAGAATGATCTTAACAGAGTTCCTTGGCTCCAAATCCTAGGAGGTCTACTGGGACGGTTCCCGGATATGTTTGATGCAGAGTTGAGAATTCAAGTTCTCCGGGTCCTATCAAACCTATTGCAAGGAACCAAGTCGGTTGCAACAAAGAAGCATTGCTTGTCTGTCTGCCTTAATCTACTTCATGCAACAGGTAGGGTTAAAAACAAAACCTTAAAATATTTTTTAAATATACTTTTTAATTAAATTTTTTTTAGGTTTAGATAAGAGTTCTGACTGGGATGTTGTGACAAGAACCACCTTGAATATGGTTAGTATGAACCAGGCTGGATCTCAGGGGCATCAACTGTTCCATGAACTAATCCATAGATCTCCCATCATCCCAGTTCAGCATGTATACTCCTTGTACACCAACCACCTGGTCAAGTTTGCCCCGGACACCCTCAACACACTTCTCTTCATGCTTAGGAACCATCCTGTTACAGACTCTAGGTCTATATCTAGAGATTCCCTACTCTGCTGGCTGTTTCCGGAGCAAGATGAAACTCCGGGCGTTCAGGTCTCCGTAGATCCCTCCGTTTTAGGAGAGATTCTAGTCTCACTTGCGCTTAGTAAGGTAATAGTATTTTNACCCATTAAATGTCATGCTAAAAACAATAAATTTTAAGGTGAGCAAGGTTTCTGCTGAAGCTAAACCTTGTTACAAGATGACTGAACTAGAGATTGACCTTCTCTGTTCCTGTCATATCAATTGTGTCCTCCAAACTAAACCATCTGTAGACCCTGTCCAGGATATTCGAGGATTTATACTCCCAGAAGTTGAGACCGAGGTGGTGAAACTTATGCATAAACATGCTTGCATTATGATTCAGGGTAAGCTTAATCACCTTTAATACCTTTTATCTCAGCTTTTAACATAAAATTTAACAAATAAGTTAAAACTGATAATCAGCTTAATTTATATTCAACCTTGTTTCTTATAATGTCATAAGGGAATGCTTGAAATTACGTAAAAAGTCTCGTTAAGACTTAGATATGTCAACATTTCATTTCTGACACACATAATATACGAATTGTAGAACCGGCAGAGCTCGATCTCGGGATCAAGTCTCTGTTGAGAGAAGCAGAAACCTTCCTATTCTATCTTCATGGATTCTCTAAACGTAAGGTAGGAAAGTTCAAAAGAAATCCAATCTCCAAGATCGCACTTTTTCAGATTCATAAATTTAGATCCGCTTATTTGCCAATGGGAAGTTTAGAAGTTAGAAGTTCAGATCAAATTTTTCTTATTTAGTAACTGTCAAAAACTATCTTTGATGTTTACAAAGGAATACAGATTTTTAGCATGTAAAGGAAAAGACGACATTAAAATTAATTTTTCCAAACTCAAACCTTAATGCCTGGACATTAATTTATTAAGTTCCAAAAAAGGTCTCAAACATTTTAAAATATTTAATTTAGGTTGAGTATAAACAGTTGGCAGAGAACTCTAAGATTAAACAAATGGCAAAGATTCTTCTCAAGAAATCCGTAGAAATGTCCCTGAAACTCCTCGAGAAGACGAGAGAAAATGTGGAGATTATTTTTCTTCTTGAAACCTGGATATCCTTCTTTCAAACCCTACCCAGGCTTTCTGGACTTGACCTTGGGTGCTTGTATCTACAGGCAGAGAGTTTTTTTTTGAATTTTTTTTATACTTTTAGACGAAAAAGTTTAAGTATAATTCATAGGAAATAGTTTACATTTGGTAGGCGTATATATCAATACAGTGAAGACGATTTTTGAATTGAATTTTGATTAAGATCAAGCTGTTCAACTGCATGGATACACATAAAATAGTAGTCATGAGAAGCTTACAAGTAAAAAAGCTTCTCTTTGATTACTTGTAAGCTTGCAATTCGGAAAAAGCTTGTAATCAATCAAAACTTGAATTAAAAAAATCGACTACATTGTAACGATATAATTTCCTATCACTACGCAAACTTTGATTTTATACCCTTCAAATCAGATAGGTTTTTAGATTACTTCCTTTAACATGAAATTCAAATATAAGATCTTCATTATAACCACTACTCTTCATGAACCTGCTTTAATTATTTTTAAAAAACCTCTGACTTGATCAGGAAATAAATCTGTTCAAGATGATGGAGAAGGTTGAGCGAACCTTGATAGAGACCTGTAATATCTGGGAGAAAAGGTTGGATTCTAAACAACCTTCTCAATCATCAGGTATTAGCGGTATTCCACAACTTCATGAGGTCCCACTGCACTGTAGGTATCCATGGTAAACTGATGAAATCCATATATTTTATAATTGCACGCTTCGTATTCAGCCTATGTTAGCAAGGAATTTAGAAACAATGATATCCTGTCAAATTAATTGTTTATGAAATTTAGGTGATAGCGGTCATAATCCGTTCGATGATTTTGATGATGCATCTCAGTCAACTGAAACAGAATCTAATAATCAAGTTGATGAATTTTCTGCTGATCTCAATTCTTTGGAAGAAGGTCCAGAAGAGGGGAGAGAACTGTTGTTAGTTGAAAAATCTTTTTATCTTCTTGTTCTCTGGTATTCTCCGAACCTGGAGATCAATATCGATCTTCCGCTGATGGCGGAGAAACAGTCAAACCTTGTTTTCCTGATTGATAGAATCCTGGAAGTTTTCCAGTTCTCACATTCTACAATCAAGGTTGGTTTATCTTCATCATTTGTTTCTTAAACTTGTTTTTATCCTAGACTCAATCTTGGGAACCTAGCTTTGCCTGGCTATTTTTAATTTTTCAAACCAAGCTAAGATTACTCATGTAGTTCTACTGGTTTCCCCATAAAAGGGGCAAATATGGTTTATATATTAATGATCTGAGAGACAAACACAGATTACTTCTTTTATATAAGACATAAGATTGTTGTCAGTAAATCTGTTATTTGTTTAGGCCGTGGTATTCTGTATCCGAGAGTTAGGTTCATCCATAAACCTCATGAAGGACACCCTGGACAAACTGTCCGAGATACTAAAGGAGATAGCGAAGAACTGCATGACACAGAAGAAATTTGATTATGTTGGAATGCTCGGGATACTCAAGATCATTGAGAACTTGGCCCAACCTGCATTAAGGTCAGAAGAATAGGAGGGGAGGGGAGGGGAGGAAAGGAAAGGAAAGGAAAGGTAACGAAACGGAACTAGTACAGTACAAGAAATTAAAGAGTAAAAATTGTTAGAACTTGAAATGGTGGTAAATCTCTCCATTATGTACTAAACCCCCTGGGAGGGGGGGCCTTTCAGATTTAACCTCTTAATTCTTAATTCAACAACACTATATATTAAATGAATTATATAGGTTGGGATCTGTCAAGTGTGGGACGGTGATTAACCGTTTGCTTGAGGTTTTGTTGAAACAGAATTCAAAGTTGAACTACTCAAGGTTCAGCATTGAGTTTACTCTCCAACTAGTCAAAACAATCTCAAAACTTGGTGAGTTTTAAACCTTGATATTTTTGTAAGGACAGGAGTAGTATTGTTCTCAGAGATTAATCTGATTAATAATTAAGGTAATCCTGATGGTTCTACTGAATCCAGTTGGTTGAGTTGGAGTAGTGAGACGCATAATCTCTCCGCTACTGAGGACTCATCTCTGGGTATAGATTCAGATGGTCCAGTTCCAATTATAAACTGTCTACCTAGATTCCTCTCTCATCCCTCACTCAGAGTAAGAACCTTGACAACCCAGATTGTAATGGAAGCTCCAGAGTTTGATCCTCGTCATTTCTCCAGCTGCGTTATATCCCTGGTTTGTGATGATTTGTTCCAGGTTTGTGTTTACAAGGACTGGAAGAAGAGTGATCAGTTATCAAGAATTAATTCAGTTTTAATTCTTTGTTCAGCACTAGTTTCTCGTAGCTCCAGCTATGCCAGGTGATTAGGCTTTACTTTTTTCAATTTAATACAATTATGTATTCCAAGAATGAAGCCGATTGAATATTTGGCAATACAAAAATAATATGATTCAGATTTCAATATTCCATTTACTAATAGTACTTTTAATTCTAGATATGCTGTCTCCACCATTCTTTGTCTACTAAGGCAGCAGAGATGTAAGTTAAACCTTGCTCCGGTACTTGCTCTGATATCAGAGCATGCAGAATACAGTGGGAACACAGGAAAGATGTTAAAAGATCTTCTTCCTGGCCTTTTTTTCGATTTCTTAGAAGAAATGTGTCCCTACTCTGAGTTCCCAATTCATGAACTTGGATTCAAGCAAGCTAGCTTTTCAGCATTCCTAACTCATCATGAGAGCTTGGTCCTACCTTTAATCCTACTCTGGGAGCCAAAGGCTGAGACAATGCAGGAGTTGGGTGAACTGGTTCAGGTTGATTATCTGATCCTAGTGGAGAGAAACCTAGACCGACTTCTACAGCTCTCCATCCCTGGGTTAGCTGCTCAAGAGTTGAAAATCAAAGTCGAGCTAAAAGAGAAGATGGCTGAGTTGGGAGCTCTGCTCAAACATGTTCTAGGAGCTGAGTTTTTACCAAGCCTAGAGAAAGCCCTTCCCTCTGTAATATATTCCTCCTTCTCTAGTATATGTGAGGATGGTAAGCTGCAGACTAGGCTAGGTATAGATTGCAGTGTTGATATCAGGTCTGGTCCACCTAGACTAAACATAGAAACAGCTGAAGCTGTTGTTCAATTTATATCTTCTAAATTTAGTGAAACCTATGATTTTCTCTGCCAAAGACAGTCGCATGGAATCCCACAGATAGCTGTAGAACTTTGCATTAATCTGATGGGTTCAGAGAATCAAACTCATCTCAGATGTCTGTTCTCCATCCAGACCTGGTTAATGAACCTCTTCTCATCATCATCTCAAACGTATACCAGCACCTTGCCATTCCTAGTCATGTATTTGAGTCAACAACTGCTAAACTTAGTTAAACGAACCAATAGCCTGGACTGTAAGAAAGCTGCTCTGGTAGTTTTGGACACCCTGATACAGCAAAGTTTTTCCAAATCTGTGAATAGTCTTGTTTTCTCCTTGGTTCAGATTAATTCCAGTCTTTTAAATATAATCTGTGAAGACCCTGATTCTAACTCAGCTCAAAATGCAAAAGGAATTCTTGAATTCCTATTCATTGAAAACATTCATAAGTTTAAAGATGATTTTGATAATCTAGAAGACTATCCATCCCTGGAGATATTCTCTCTGTTGTCAGTATCTGTAGGAAAGTATAAAAAAGATCTGTCTTTAACTTCCTTCCTACGAACCTTCCTCCGGGTTACTGATCTAGTCGAGTTCAAGTTCTGTGAAAACATTCTCAGGCAGCTGAAACAGAGGTTGAAGACATCAGGGACAGAGCTTAATGTACTCCTGGAGAAGGATTTAGATGTTGTTAAAGAATTGGTGATACATCTCCTAACCCTCAGTAAGATGAATATCAAATCCATCTCAACACTGGCACTTGACTGTCTGGGAGAGATAGGACCCGTGAATTTTAAATCCAATGTTCTCAAAGCAAATTCTGCTTTTCAACCTTCTGATCCATCCAAACCAGCATTCGCTTATGTTAAACCAATCCTGAATAAACTGAGCAAATTGTTGAATAGGGAATCAGGAACCTTCTCCAGGGACGTGTTCAACACCATCTCCAACATACTCAGCAGCACACAAGAGGGTCGGGAATTATGCCTTGAAGACCGTGGTTTCAATGTTTTGGAACCACTCAAGAAAAAAGGAAAAAGAAATCTCCAGGTCCCTCCTGTTATACAGGACGTAACAAGGTTCACGGATGAAATCGATGATGAGGGTCTCTGGGTTTATTCTAGACTGGAGTATAGTTCCTGGATAAAGGTTCTAGTGGCAAGGTTTCTAAACTGCTTCTCAGATAAATCTGTTCTAGGTTTTATGCTAGGTGTGTGTGAGAATTCACTAGAGTTGTGTGAGCTCATCCTTCCATACATCATCCAGGAATGTTTGTTGCATCAAGACGAAAATATCCGCCTTGTTGTCTCAACCCGGATCATCTCGTTCTTTCAAGAGTTTCAGGATCAGGTTGGATCCTCTTCAACCTTTCTCCAAGATAATGTCCCAGTCTATTTTGAAAGGTAGATCATAAAATTAATATTATTAAGTTAAAAAGGCTGCCTCAAAATTGTCTTATTTTCACTTAAGTAAAACCAATATTTGTTATGGCTTTGATTCTTTTATAATTAAGTTAATTTGGACCTATTATTGCGAAAATAAGTTTATTATTGTAAATATTTTCAACTTTAGGAGAAAAGTTTCTGCCCTGGTTGGTGTGGTATCCTATACTAGACTCCAGGTTCTACCGGACTACTTGATCAGAGATGCTAATCAGTCCATATGGGAGCGGAACTTCTGGCTCCCGGGGTTAGATTATCTAGCAGTTGCTAGTGCTGCACTGTTCTGCTCCTCCTACTCCTCTGCTCTACTCTTCTCTGATATCTGGTGTATACAGCAGGATATGATCCTAGGGAAGTATGATGAGAAACCTCCTCTACTCAGGTTGCAAGCTTGCAACCCAACCAGGATTAGTGAGCTCAGGAAAATTGTAACTAGCGCCAGTCTTAAAATCAGCGACAAGGATGCGTACCATGGGATCAAATCTGTTTTACCAGAGGTGTCTGAAACAGAAGTTAGTTTTGATAATCTGCCAATCCTTGATGTACAATGTTCCACGTCTAGTAGAGATGGCAATAACAGTCTTGTTCAAAGCTTATACCAGAACGGATTGTTCCATCTACTGTCCAAGTATATGACTGGTGTTCAGACTACTGAAGTTGGTCAGAATGTTCTAGATGTTCAAGCAGAGTGTGCCTGGAGACTAGGAGAGTGGGACAATGTATTTCCAGAAGAAAAGGCGAGTTCCTTTAATGTCTCGGTGTTTGGCTGCCTTCAAAGTTTTCATAATTGTGACAAAGATGGAGTAAAGAATTGGTTAAACCTATCATATTCACATATTCTTGATTCAATTACACGGACTAATCTTGAATCTAGTGCAGAGATATACTCCATTCTCTCAAAGCTGAAACTTTTGAACGAGACAAGTCTATTTTCTAAAAAAGATCTCGAGGGGGAGACTTTGAGTATTCTTGACGGACTTTTGAGTAAAGATGATATATATAACGATGATTTTGGACATTTAGAACCAGTCTATAGTGTCAGAATGTCTCTTCTCAACACAGCTCTGATCAAAACTCAACCAAAGCTGCTGGAAAGAACCCTGTTGACACTGTGTACAAGAGCCCGAGAGTCTGGTAGGTTCTGGTTCTGTCACAGTATCCTGGAAACCACCAGGAGTTTAGTTTCCTCTGAGTTTAAGTTTGAGAAAGCTAAGGTTGAGTGGAGCAGAGGCAAGCACTCCCAAGGAATTCTCCTCGCTAAAAGTCTTCTCCAGGAGATTGAAGAGAAAAAGAACTTGAATCCTGATACGAAGCAACTGTTGCCGGAGCTTTTGGTATCACTAGGCCAGTGGATGAACCTAGAGAAAACAGAATGTTCTAAAATCATCCTGAACAAATATTTTAAAAGAGCGGTAGAGCTGCTGGAGAAGGAGGGTTCAAGGACGGAAAGTTCCTTGGTGGAGGCGTATTTAGGGTTGGCCAACCTAGCAGACCAGCACTATAAGAAGGCTGAGGAGTACATGGACAGCGCAGAGTTCAAGGAGCGCCAGGCCAACATCAATTTACGGCAGAAGGAAGAAACAGTTCTGAAAGGAGCTCTAGGCACAATTGACAAGGCGTTCAAACAATCTTTAATCATCAAAACTAGATTTTTAGCCATTGATAAACTAGAGATTGACCGGTGGATGAAAGAAAAAGAAACGTATCTAATGACATCTATGGAATATTATCTAAGTGTTTTACTTCATGGAGATATATCTGTAGCAGTATACAGGATGATATCTCTTTGGTTTGCAAACCAAGATAATGTTGAGCTTAACTCCTTAGTCTCTAAAAGACTACCTAATATCCCGACCTACCGACTAGTTCCTCTTCTCTATCAGATGGCAGCTAGAATGTCTGACTTTAAGAAACAAGATGGCGTCGAGTTTTCAGCTGTTCTGTTCAATTGTATTCAACGCTGCGCATTGGAACATCCACATCATGTGCTGCCCATCGTCCTTGCTTTGAAAAATGCCAATCTGGATGAATTTTTTGAAAATAACAAACCACCACCAGACAATCATTGTGGAGATGCGCGCAGCAAAGCTTCATATATCATGTTAAGAGACATGAAGAAGGTGCGAAACTTTGAGAATATTATCAGTAAATACTCTGAACTATCTCTTGGTCTGGTGGAGCTAGCCTATCACCAGGTGGGTAAGAATCCTAGTAAATCCATCAGTATCCCTGCCAGTTATCGATATACCAAGATCAAACAATGGGACGATGTTCTAGTCCCTACAGATAATGTTCCGGTCAGACCAGATGGAGACTACTCAAGATATCCGGGCATAGGTAACCATTCTTTACTTCCGTCCCTAGTTTTAAGGTTTAAATCCTGTTCCTTATCTCCGCAAATGGGATTTAAATCTAAATAATGTAAAAAATTAGCATAGTTTTTTTTCGATTGTTTGAAAAAAAATTATTTCCACGAATAATAAACTCTTGGTCCTGAGGTGGCAAGTTTTTAATTCACGGAATAACTAATTCTTTTCTCAAACATTTGTCATTAGTTTTTAAACAAACATGATAAACTGATTTAGTTTCCTTTCTAAGCTTATGGACTATGAAAGATTTGAAACAACTTGAAGAGCAACAGTTTTAATGGTACACAACTAATAACTAACAAATGTATATGTACTATTTACAATTGTAATTTTTTAGAGAGGTTTGAACCTTCCTTCAGTATGGTTGGAGGAATCAATGCCCCGAAGAAAACTGTTTGTATTGGAACTGATGGAATACGGAGACCTCAACTAGTGAAAGGTAAATGCAACTAATCCATGGATTAAGGTCCAGATGGACCTTAATCCATGGATTGCATGATATTTTAACCCGTAGTTTTTCAAATTAAATAAAATTCAGACAGAAGGAGCCCATAGAATTACCATTTTTATTTATTTAAGTCTAAAATTGGTTTATTTTTTAATGAATCAAAAATTTTACGTAAAAGTTTTAGTTAGGAAAGTTAATCCCCGTTTTGTTGAGACAGTCTCATTTTAAAATTCTGTCAATTTAGCCCAGGCTAAAAAAAATCTTTGAAAGTAAAAAGTGTTATTAATTAATGTAGGAAAGGATGATCTCCGGCAGGATGCGGTGATGCAGCAGGTATTTGATCTAACCAACCAACTCCTGGATCAGGATAGAGATACAAGGAAGCACAACCTGAGAATTCGAACCTACAAGATAGTTCCGCTCTCCCAGCGTTCTGGAATACTAGAATGGTGCAGTAACACCCTACCTATAGGAAACGTATTGGTAGGGGAGAACAGGAAGGGTGGAGTACACAAGAAATATTTCCCCAACCACTTAACTAGTGCAGAGTGCCACGCAGCCTACAACCATTCCAGTCATGCCAAGGACCCGGAAAAGGTTTATCTTAAAATCTGTCAGAATTTCCCACCTGCGATGAAATTCTTCTTGATGGAGCAGTTTACCAGTCCTGAGGAGTACTTCAAGGGGAAGAACTGTTTTACTAACTCTGCTGCAGCATCCTCTATGGTGGGACACATTCTAGGCCTTGGAGACAGGTTCAGTATTTAACTTAAAATATTAAAAACTCGAAACACAGATGATTTTGAATATATATCTTTCATTTCTTAGGCTTATTGATATTTTTCTGTAAAAAAAAGATTTTTTTGTATGAAAAGATGTAACAATAAACGACTTATGATTAGACAACAAGCGCTAAACAAACGGATATTTTTTAAGTTACAAACTAATTTGATTTTAACTTTATGGGTCTGAAAACTATATAGTTGTATAATGTTTAACTTGTCAGACACATCAACAATATTCTACTGGACCTGAAAACTATATAATTGTATAATGTTTGACTTGTCAGACACATCAACAATATTCTACTGGACCTGAAAACTATATAATTGTATAATGTTTAACTTGTCAGGCACATCAACAATATTCTACTGGACCTGAAAAGTATATAGTTGTATAATTTTTAACTTGTCAGGCACATCAACAATATTCTACTACACCTGAAAACTATATAGTTGTATAATGTTTAACTTGTCAGGCACATCAACAATATTCTACTACACCTGAAAACTATATAGTTGTATAATGTTTAACTTGTCAGGCACATCAACAATATTCTACTGGACCTGAAAACTGGCGACCTTATTCACATTGATTTCGGAGTAGCATTCGACAAAGGCAAGATCCTTCCAACTCCAGAGCTAATTCCGTTCCGTCTCACTAGAGATATTGTAGACGGGTTCGGTCCAACAGGAGTAGAAGGGGTATTCAGGTAAACATGGAGATACTGTTCAAATTAGAGAGTAGTCCCATTAATCATTTTTATATTTAAGTGAACCGTAAACTCAGAACAAAATATTTTAATTTTACCAGTTTTTGAAACTTTAAAAGGTTTCCATATGTAATTTCAATATTCACAAATTGTCATTTTCGATTCACAACGGTACCCTTTAGAATTAGAACAATGAAGGAAGGATATTGTAGATTTTGAATCAACACAAATGATGAGAATATTAGTAGTGTGTCGTGTTGTAAATACAAAAATAAACATGTAACCTTTTGAATAAAATGATTTCAAATTCAGGAGTAACTGTGAAAGAAGTTTGCGCGTTCTTAGAGAGAATAAGGACAAATTGTTAACCGTCCTAGAGGTAAATATTAGAGAATAAGGACAAACTGTTAGCCGTCCTAGAGGTAAATATTAGAGAATAAGGACAAACTGTTAACCGTCCTAGAGGTAAATATTAGAGAATAAGGACAAACTGTTAAACGTCAGAGAGGTAAATATAAGAGAATAAGGAAAAACTGTTAAACTTCATAGAGGTAAATATAAGAGAATAAGGACAAACTGTTAAACGTCCTAGAGGTAAATATAAAAGAATAAGGACAAACTGTTAAACGTCCTAGAGGTAAATATAAAAGAATAAGGACAAACTGTTAAACTTCATAGAGGTAAATATAAGAGAATAAGGAGAAACTGTTAAACGTCAGAGAGGTAAATATAAGAGAATAAGGACAAACTGTTAACTGCCCTAGAGGTAAATATAAGAGAATAAGGACAAACTGTTAAATTTCCTAGAGGTAAATATAAGAGAATAAGGACAAACTGTTAAATGTCCTAGAGGTAAATATAAGAGAATAAGAACAAACTGTTAAATGTATAAAAGGTGAATAAAAAAGACTGAGTTTTAAATGTTAATTGTTTTTTACCTCTATAAAATTGAGAATATAATGTTAAATGACCAGGTGATGCTGCACGACCCGTTGTATGACTGGAGCGTGGGGCCCAGCAAGGCGGCAGCTAAACAGGCGGGGGAGTGGGAGAAACTTAAGAAACAGGAGGATGGACAAGGGAACAGGTAAATCACCGTTCACCTCAGCTACGAAGTAGGTATGGAGCATCGTGGCTTAGTGAGTATTGTCACTAGTTACGGTACGGAGGGCGGAGGTTCTGTACTCGTAACTTTATTTTTGAGGCTTTAAAAACATAATAGTTCTCTCATATCCGGGGCGAGTATTCCCTGATAACCAGCGCACCACATTAATACACGTGTGTCATAGTTTGTAAGCTTTATTGAAGATTACAAAATATATTATAATTATTGATAACAAAATATTGCTCTAGGTCTCAAATAATGAACTTAATCTTCAAGTTATCAAAACCAGGCAAGTAAAAATGTTCTATTATATAAAAATACACGTACACAGTTGCTCCGGCTGGAGTTTGATGTAAGCGACAGTCTTCGAGCAGATATCTTTTGCTTCATTTAGAGTCCTTTCGAGTCTGAAAGAGAATTCTAGGTGAGGTATGATTGATAGACGAAAATCTTATGAATCACACACAGTGATTGCAGCATACCTTTAGGGGCGATCCTTAAATCAGTGAAGGAGAGTATCTGAGAACCAAGGAAAACGACAACCTTGAGATTGTTCTTCGATCTTGAGGAATTTAAACGAGTAATGAAGACAGGGTTTTCAGAGGCAGAAGACGACCTCAGTGAACATCTCACCAGGTGGAGAAAATTTGTCTATCAGATCAATCAGACGGAGTATATGAACAACAGGACGGAGACGATCCTGGATACAATATAATAATAAATGAAAGTATTTGTTAGGTTTAAGGTTTTTAGGTTCTGGTCAAGAATTCACAATTATTCATCGAATGAAGATAGTAGATTTGCAGGATATTTGTAGATGGTAAATTAAATACTTCACTTATTTCCATGTCCATATAAACGCTACTAGCTATGGTTGGTTAAGCTAAATCGACAACAACAACATGAAGTAGGTTTTTAAAACCTGAGGGTTTTTTTCAGAATAAAACATTGTTTATATATAGTTGTTTCAGATTTGTTAATTCTCTATTGATAAATTTATCATATTATGATAAAAATTAAGCAGAAAAGCTTAAAACACTGTAGATTGCCTAATAATCTCATGAAAACCTTTGAGTCAAACGCCTAAACTGCACAACAAAGTTTAAATGGAATTTTCTCAAAAAGCAGTCGACAGAGATTTCTAAAAGTCTACATGCTAGTTCTAAACATACTCTACATTCAGAATCTGGAAAAAAACCTCAGGTGTCACTCTTTTTAAAACCTACTCCATAGCTGAGGTGAACGGAGAAATAAGAACTACATTCCGGTTGGAAATAATGTCGTATTCTACCTGTGAAGAATAATGTGAAAAATATAATTTTAGAATAGCTATAAAAAGTTCCCACAAATTAAGGAACTTAATAGAAGAATGAACACTCATTAAATTATTTCTGGCATTTCTAATTCGCTCTCAATGATGTATTGTTCGATCGGATCCTGTTCGCTTTTAGGACAGATTCCTAGAGTCTATATAGTTTTTATTTTAAATAATTATTTACAACTACTTCAATGGGAACTTAAGGGAAATTTTACTCTACACAGGTTTTCCAAGGGTTTCTGGATGTTTTGTAGGAAAAATTGGTTAAGGGAACCCGTGGTAATGTAACATTTTTAATTTACAGAAAAAGTAGCTGTATAAAATTTTATCGCCTTTTGAGATGAAAATGCGCTAATTTTTTTCCTGAAAGCTTCGCAGAGCGGGTGGTTATTTTACATAACTGTCCCAAGTTAAGTTAAGTTACTTAACCTCCCTTTGTTGGGGGAATCATATTGTCGATAATGTTGTTCAAAAGAAGTAAAATATATTATTTATTTCTTACGTCATTTATTAGCACAGTTTATATTTATTCAGAAGAAAACTTAATTTATACCATAAATTTGTGGTATTTGATGAGTATTGTCTCATTCTTAGTGGGTTTAAATTTGAATGATTATTTAATGAAACTGAATAATTACCAGTCAATTATTATCTTAAAGGAAATTAGAATAGAATAGATGTATTTATAATTTGAATGTTTAGAATGGCAAGTAGAGCTTTAATGGTACTTGTATCTAAACTTGAGGGTAGAGAAGATGGTTCACAACTATCCGTCTCAGGAAAGGATTTATGATTTTTTAAGAAGTTTTTAAACTTTGATTATTTATGGGAACATTTTCTGAGTGGGCATTTTACATTGTTTGATGATTCCTACTTTTAAGTAAGTTATCTAACAAATGTGGGGGCCCATAAAACTATGGAATAGAAAGCCTAAATTTAAGCAGTCTTATGTAAATTTTATGTTAAGTTGTAAAAAAGCAAACAGTTTTATTAAGATAAATCATTATTTATTTATTTTAAAAAACATTTTAATAAATAGCTTAAAAATCAATTAACTTATTAATTGAAATGGGACTTGAGGAATTGAGCCTTTGCTTCAAACTCTGATTTTATCATCCCTATATCTTGGCAAACCAATGTCGTAGACCTTAGATATCTCAAACTGTGAATCAATTAGGGATTACAAAATTAGAGTTTGTTCCTTTGTTGTATTTCATGATCATAAGACTATTTAATATCAAAACCTGAATTGAATTTTCCCCCAACCTAGTTTCCAACTTCCCTAGATATAAATCCTGAATTCCAGGTCAGGTTGGAGCACTGATACAACAAGCAACGGATCCTGCTAAACTATCCAGAGTATATGTGGGTTGGTCTCCCTGGTGCTAAACTCTCTACGACGGTTCTAGACCATCTGGGTTTTCATCATTGTTCTAAAAGACTGAACCTGATATTTCGAAGAAATAAATTTGAACATTAATCTGCGCTATTTAGCGTCATAATGAGAATTTATTTGAACTGTTCACGCCGAAGAAAAAAAGTAATACAACTTAAAGAAAATTATTTGAAACCATGAAATAGTATTTAACTGTGATAACCCGTGCCTGAAAAGATTTTTAATTAAACAATAAAAATCTAGACGTTTTTTTTTTAGAAAGAATGAAAGAGTGTCGGTATCCAGGGTTACTGTATAGCCTGCTAGAGGAGAGGGTTGGGACGGATTTAGAGATTGTGTGCAAGGATGGATCCTTCTCCTGTCACGCGGTTATGTTGGCAGTATCTGAACAATGGTGGAGAAATCTACTGGAACCTTCAGAGCAGAGCATAGGAACTTTCTAGTTTTAAATCAGACATTTTACAAAAGTATTACACGCATTTAGTTTGTTTATAAAGGAAAGAGTCATTGATACAAACTCTAATTCTCTAATGCCTATATATTTGCAACCCGAAGTCGTAGTCCTTAGTTATTTCAAACTATGAATTCTGTTGGATCAAATAATCTAAGTTTGAAATATCAAAGGTTTACACAATGATGTTGCAAAGACATAGGGATTGGAAAATTTTAATGTGTGACAAAGACTCTGTTTCTTTGGAGAAAAATTTAATTAATTACGGATTCTGAAGAATTTTTTGTGAATAATTTAACTCAGACCTAATAACCTGGTGTTTATGGATAAAGTGTTATTTTGCGATTTCATGTTATCTCTCAGAATTAGTGAAAATACATCCCTTTAAGATATATATTCAATCTGTAAGAAATATTGCACAGTTTCTTAGAAATAAGACAACCTTCCAGTCAATCAGAAAAAGACTAAATATTCCCAAACTCCGTAAATCACACATTAGAGTTATTGAAAGTTTAACTTTTGCTGCATACAGAGGCACAACTAGGATTTTTTCTGGGGGGGTTCCGATTTAAATATTTTTCCATAGTTCCTCAAGTTCCACTGAGAGTTGGGAGCCTGGTCTAGTTCCACAGGGTTCCACCATCAGTAAAGAGGAGTTGATTCCACTTAACTCTTGAGTTTCATTCCAGAGTGACTTTTACAGCAGAAAAAGAATAGAGTTCCGATATAACTCTAAAGGTACTGCTATACCTCTGTTAAATGAGTCGATAGTTCCAATATAACTTCGATTCGAAGAGTTCGACATAACTCTGAATAAAAAAATGTAAGAGTTCCAATATAACTCTGATAGTGGTTCCAATAAAACCTTTAAAACAAAGAGTTCGGTATAACTCTGATCTAATAAGTTTAGAGTTCCAATATAACTCTGATATAATAAACCTTAAGAGTTCCAATATAACTCTGAGATAATAAACCTTAAGAGTTCCAATATAACTCTGACCTAATAAAACATAAGAGTTCCAATATAACTCTGACCTAAAAGAAGCTAAGAGTTCCAATATAACTCTGACAAAGTTAAAACTAAATAAACTTTAAAGCTGAGAGTAAAAATAAACTTATAAGCTGAGAAAAAGATAAACTTGTAAACTGAGAATAAACTATACTTATATGCTGGGAATAAAAAATTTTAAACTTGTAGGGGGTGAGAAAGAAGAGAAACAAGGAGGAGGGAGTTCCAATGAGGCTTTTACTTAGTTAAGAAAAAATCTAAAAAGAATCGGGAGNTACTGAGGCATTTTCAGACATGAACTGCTTCAGTTCCAGGGCATTCCTACGGTCATGCATCATCAGGATCGTCTTGTCCGCCAGAGCATTACCAGACCCGCTGAACTCTAAGGAGAGGTTCCTATACTTGTGCACGTGTCTGACCGGCACCTACAAAATCAGATTGTTAAAACCCAAATTACTTGAATGTGGCAGAAGTAGTATTAGAGTGGCCAAGATAAATAAACCCCTTAATTATAGTTATTGGATCTCTTAATAATTATTGGTTCAAATCAGCGAGTGTTATTATAAACTATGCATAGACATAAATAAACCATTATCTTTTACAGTGTATCCCAAAAGTTTGTGTACAAATTCTCAATAAATGGTGAGACACGTTTGTAATATAGGAATAAAATCTAATTTTGTCAAATAACTAGACTGCGGTGTGCACTATAATTTCCAATTATTTATTTGAAGGCTAAACGTTACCTGGCTATAGTAGTCTTTTGGGTCCGTGAACGGTAGCCTCAACCATCTTGCTTTGTGCAAGCATGTCTTCCCATCATCTTTATCCTCTCCAAATTTTATTCTTGGTGGCAGCTCATCTTTTTTGAGCATCGCAAGTTTCGAGTTCTCAGACTTTTGCTGCTTCAAGTGCATGTCATGCATGAGGGTTATCTCCTGTATGCTTGCCTTAGCTACATTTGACCGGTTCTGTAAAATGGCTGGTCGAGAGTCTCTAGGCCAGGCCTCTTCCAGCCACTTCCATTTGAAACAGCCGTCTTCCTCATCCTCATCCTCCGAGGACGCATCAACCTCTACTGTCCCCTTACTTGTCTTCTGGGTCCTGCCCTGCAACAGGTATAGATATAGTCAACCTTAAGAAATTTTATTTATAGTATGATTTGTGCGGTTCTAAATACAGAATCCAGTTCATAATTTTCAATAAATTTTCTCCCGCTGGTTAGGAATATAAATTTACTATTTTGTATCAAAAGAGACTTACTTTCATTGTGACATAATATAGTATAATTTTACTATTTTGTAACAAAAGAGACTTACTTCTATTGTGATTGAGCGGGTTCTCTTCTTTTTAGCTCTCTTGGGAGGCTCCTTAGCAGCCTTCTCCGGTGATACCAGAATAGTCACATCCTGTCCCAATTCTCTCCGGATTCGTCTGCCCAGCTCACTGGCAGTGGATTCCACATCTGATATGTTGTCATTGGGTGGATCCTCTGGTTCATCCGTATCTGTTACCTCAGTAGGGTTCTGATCTGAAAATAAGCAAAATCAGATATATTCACAATGTAATTCAACGCTAGTGGAAATAATTCCTAGGCTGTAATTGTATATATTGTTTTTAAAAACCTCAGCATATAAGAAAACTATCTCCAGACTCTAATAGTGTGTTTGTTACAGTCATATTTAGCATTACAGGACTAGTATATGTTCGTTTAAATAATTGACGATAATGAGAAGAAATTTTAAACTATAAAATACCTCAGCTTATAAGTTCAATTACTCTTAATATTTGAAATAACCCGGAGCAGGAGTGGGGGGGTGGGGGGGGGATGATAAATTAATTTAACGAGTTCCCTATTTTTCTAGCAATTTCAATTCTTCTAGTGCGGGGAAGTTTAAGGTAGTTGAGATATGCTTCACTGGACCACCGGCCCATTGCCATTATCTCTTCATCACTGAAACCCAGCGTGCCCATCAGAGTCGCCATTCCCGCTCTGAAGCTGTGGGATGTGAACATTCCTTTCTTGTAGTCCAAGTGAGGTTTCAAGAAAATCTTCATTAGAGAGTTTAACTTCCGGCCCGTCAGACAAGATCCGTCTTCCAATCTAAATAGTGGGGATTTCTTATGTCTCCAGGTTCTCAACGCATCCCACCTCTCAAAAGCTTTTATTGGACAGATGGGGCCTTCACTCTGGTATATGTCTATGATCTTTCCCACTCCGATCCTATCTTCTTTCGGGGATTTTAGACGGATTTGAAGAATTTTAATTTGTTCTTTTCCTATTCTGATTTTCTTAAGGATGACATCGGTTCCAAGAAGTGTAAAATCAGGATCAAATTCAGTTTGTTTTCTGCTTAAGATCTCATGGATACGTAAGCATCCAGCAAAAAGTACAGTGCAGGTTGTCCATACTAGAGCTTTGTCTTCGTTTGAAGCGTCCCAGGTGATAATCTCTTTCTTCAGTAGTTTCATGATATTCAGAGTTACTGGTGCAATTGCTCTTAGGCAGAAGTTCCCAATTCCCGCATTGTCTAGGTCACTAACTGAGGGAGAAAGGTTGGAGTTAGCGTCATTAAAAAGGAAAGAGTGGGGAATGGACACGTCTTCGACGTAGTTGCTAGTAAGGGAGTCCGGGAAAGTGAAAAAATCGACTGAGGTCAGGGGGAGGGATAGAGAGATTGTATCTGCCGCGTCGGGCCAGAGTTTCTTGGCCGGGACCACATAGGGGGCCTCTAGGAGTGATCCTTTTAAAAAGAAGCTGCCCCTTTCAATTGAGAGGTTATTTGGCCCCAACCAGAAGGTTATCCCGCCAATTATTTTTCCAGTCCAGCCAAAAGCATCAAGGGTTTGGGTGGAAGCTGGTCCTATACCATTGCAAAAGATGGCGGAGTAAACTTCAGAGGGAATGGGGTTTGAGCCATGAAACCCTAGTCCTCCAATCAGTTTCTGTCTAGGAACAACCATAATACTGAAAGAAAAGAAAAAACATTGTAGCATCATAAGTAAATATAAGAAACCCTTTTTATAAAAGGGAAAATTAAGATAAAAGATAAATAAAATCATGTGGCTAAAAATCATGAAAAAAAAAACAATTTATAAAAATATAAGAAACTATCTTGGAGTATCTTGGGAATAACCTTAATACTGAAAGAAAAGGAAAAGAAAATTGTAGCACATTAAATAAAATTAAAAGAAACCTTTTTTAAAAAAGGGAAAATAAAATAAATAAAGGATTATTAAAAACCCACGTGGTTAAAACACGAAAATAAAAGAAGAAAAAGTTTTTAAAAAACACTATCTTGGAGTAACAAGATATAAACTCGAAAAGCTGCGCCACAAGACTGAAGGAAATACCTGCCGGCTGACAGATAGTCAGGCGCAGTACACGTCAGCTGACTCGCTCTAGTACCGGGCCGGGGCAGCGTACAACTAATCTAACTCCTCAGCCCAGGGGCAACAAGGACCTAGAAAACGATTCAATAGCCTTTAGCCTTGAGAATTGAGAAAGATAAAAATATTCTTTTTAAAACTAATTATAGTATAATAAAATTTCCACAATAACTCTATTGGTTTTCTTATTCCTGTGATACTGATTTTCGCCATTCTTTCTTTCTTTTCATTCTGCAGGGGGGGGGGGCGCCCCCCCTCTCAGTTGCAAGGGGAGGGCGCGCGCCCGGCCGCCCCCCCCCCCTAGTTGCGCCTCTGGCTGCATATACATAAGATTTTTTTAGTCCCAAAAATATTATTTAACAAAAACTGGATCATTGTTTTCGTTAAAAGTTTAACCGCTGTGCCTCATGAAGTAATCAGTGCGCATTAACTTTTATAATGATGATTTTGGTCTCAAATCAAACATAAGATTTATCAACACTAACTACAATAGGTTTAGAAGCTAATAATCTTGAACTAGATCGTTGATCAGTCCTTCTCCCTGATATGGGTAGAGTAGAGGTGGAGAAAGCTGTACAACTGTTATATACAGGATCAGCGGAGGGAACTAACCCAGAACTATTCATCCCAACTCTTAGCTCTCTTTTTCCTAGTCTCAGCTTACAGGTACAGATTCTTCTTTGCAAACTTTGGATTGTTTGACGTTTAGGTACAAAGGATTTTAGTATTTGCCACAAACTTAAATTTTCTTATCCCTTTATCTTTGCAACCTGATGGTGTAAAACTTTCATATTTTAAACTCGTGTCATTTGATCTAACAAATTTCTTCTTTGAAAAATCGATGGCAAATACTTAGCTTTCAGATTTAACTCTTTATCTTTATCTTTTTATAGAACCTCGCAATAACCCAGAAAATGTTTATCATCATGTAATAGCATTGAAAATACTTTAATGTATTTCAATAAAACAGAAAACTCAGTGATATTTTTATTTTTTACGAGCATGAAAAGTGCCACGTGTCCACGTAAAATTTTGTTTTTACAGTTGGAGAGAAAGGTTGAAACCGTTTCTCCACTCCAGGATCCAATTTGTGAATCAGCGAGTTCCGATATTTTCCAAGATATCTCTATTTCCCACGAAGTACCAGATACAGAACCAGATCCTGATTATCACCAAGTTTCTCCTCCTGGTTCTCCGGAGCTAACCAAACCTTGTTCAGATCAACCTTGTCATCAGAATATTGAGTACAGGTTGGTGTTAATGGTTAGGGTTTATACCATTTTGTTTCGATTTTAAGATTAAATCCTCAACATTTTTTTTGAGTCTCAGTTTTAATCCTTGAGCAATTTCCTTAAACCTTTTTTATATTATACACAAAACGGATATTTTCTTTATTTCTGGTTACGAAACTTTTAAAGGACAAGTTCTAAAAACCCTTAACTTTTCAAGTAGTGTGTCCCAAGAAACCCAGGAACCTCCATATCTTATGCGTCAAATCTGTGTACTGCAGTGGGAGGAGATCAAAACAAAGAATTCAGGGGCAACGCATCATTTTTGAGAGAAAAGGGTCCAAGGGATGGAACAAGAATATATTGCTATTGTATTTTCTATATTGAAAAGAAAGCTAAAAATCATAAGTATTCGCTCTAACTTAATATATTTACTAAATGGTTTTTTGCTGGCCTGTAAAATCACATCAGAACTTTAGTCCTATCCCTTCAACTTCTGTGGGGGAACTGGTTTTTACATTCGTCCCACAGTGTACAGTAAACAATTTGCGTATATCTGACATGGGCGTTCCTGTATAGTTCCTTGGTGTGTCCTATTTTAAACAGGAACCTTTAACCCTCTGTCTGATCAAGAATCAAAGAAATGTCCTTATTTTTCTAGCTGAAAATTATTTGTTGAAAGTTTTAAATTGTGAGAGTTTAAAAATTTTCCAGATATCTTCCTCATTGTAACTCAGACAAAGGTTTAAAAATGTTCTGATGTGGATGGACATGCCAAGTGGAGGGTCACTTGAAATGCGTCTACAATCCCTTTAATCTTAAAATTCCCAGTTTGAACGAGGAGGTGGCTGAAGTGTGTGAGGTTGAAACTAGTTCTCCTAAACCTTCTCCGTATAGTTGTCAGCTCTGTCAGAAAGCGTTTACATATTCTAAAGACCTTAAAAACCACCTGCTTGGTAAGTTTACTGTTTTTAATATTGATCTCTGAAAATGTTCGCGAAAAATGATAGGTTATTTTGCATGAAATCTCCGCTACTAAAGTATTAAGCTTGTTTAAACATTTCCTCATTACAGACGCCAGAGATTGAAGTAAAATTGGCAGTGATCGAATCCGAAAGTGTTTCGGTTTTAAGTCTATACCCCCTTTTAATTTTTTTTCGTGGACTTCCTTTAATTATGCCATAAAATGCACTACTTAGCTTAAATCATTTACTTTTTATTTTTTATTAACCTTCCAAATACTACCGCGCATTGTACTTTAAAATCTTTGCTTTACTATAATTAATCATTTAAATGCATATTGTTCATTGTTCAGCTAGGACTTCAAACTTCAGCTGAAAGCTAATCCCCGCATTTTGATTTGATTCGATTCGATTTGATTTGATTGATTTCACACGAATTTTGATTATTTCAGTTCATGAAGATAGAAAACCATTCGTCTGTCGAATCTGTCTTCGTCCTTCAAGGTTTGTCTCTTTTTTTTGTTTAAGTATAAGTAACTATATTAATGTTTGGTTTAGGACAATGAGTAACATGTAAGTAACTTTATTAAGTAACTGTAATAATGTTTGGTTTAGGACGATAAGTAACATGTACCAACATCTTCGAACTAACCATTCTCTGTTTGAGAATTTAAGAAATCATATTCAAGAGGATTCAGGAAACCAACTTTCACTAAGGCAGCTCTACATACTGGAATACTATGCACGTTCCTAAGTAAAATTATAATTACTCTACTATATGTGACACATAAATTACATGAAGAGCTAAGGTTATGCAATAGGCTTACCATTAGATTGGATTTTCAGTATTAAAGTATTTTTGGCTTGCTCCACAAAAATCTTCGAGGTCTAAAAATTTCCTGTTCGGGAAACTAATCTATGAACCTTTTGATCTAAAAGGAATTTCATCTAAGAGTAATCTGATCTAATGAGAATTTAATCTAAGAAACGTGGAAATTGATCTAAAATATTTTTTTAGATCTAAGTCCGCATTTTTCTGAAATTTTTTGGAATTTGATCTAAAAAATGTGGAATCTGATCTAAAATATTTTTTTTCAAATTTGAGCTCCCTGTTCATTTTTTTTATATTTGTCAAGTGAAGATTTTCATAAAATTTCTTCTGCCAAAGTTGTGATTTTGATCTAAGATATGTGTAATTGGATCTAAAATATGTTGAATGTGATCTAAGATTATTTTTTTCAAAATATATATTTTTCAGATAACCATTATGCTTCAAATTCCTAACTTTATTTGCTTAAAATATGGAATTTGATCTAAACAGTGTTTACTTTGATCTAAAAAATGTAGACTTTAATCTAAAATTTTATAATTTGATTAAAAATATTAGATTTAAATGTGTAAGGTTGACACCTTAATTGGTGAAAGAGTTGGGTTCATGGGTTCAGGATCTTCATATTTTAGATCAAATTATGTATTTTTTAGATGGAATTCGTCATATTTTAGATCAGATTATACATTTTTTAACCTAATTCTACTATTTTTAAATACAGAATTATTTACTTCCAATATAATTTCTGCACAAAATTTGGGAATTTTATCTGTAATATGTAGAATTGGATCTAACATATTTGTTTTCAAAATTAAACATTTTTGACTCAAAATATATAAAATCCAAATTTTAGATCAAATTCTACAATTTTCCCGAAAGAATTGGAATTTGGTCTAAAAATTTTTTAGATCTAATTTTACTTAGATCAGATTCTTTTAGATTAGATTGCCTTTAGATCAAAAGGATTATAGATTGATTTCCTATGCACCAAAAATTTTCACAACTTTATTTTCTACAAGTTTAACCTTTTTTTTTACATTATTCAAATAATAAGTCTATACAAAGAAAAACTAACTAAAAAGCTAAGATTTTTAAAGAATGGCTTCCAAAAATTATACCAACGCCAACCATTATCCAATCTTATCTACGTCATCGTTTCTCGGATAAAGAAATGAAGGATTAGTTTATTGTTTACTGAACAATTTCTTCGAGTAATTTCAAAAATATTATTTAGTTCAGTCTGATAAATTTTATTTTATCTCCATTTCTATTTCCTCTCCGAATGATGAGCTGGGTTCAGGGATGAAGATATTCTAGAGAAAGTAAAGAACGGATCTGTAAATAAACTGATTCTAGATATCAATTACGTTAAGAGGTAAGCTTACAGAAAACCTGAACTTGCGCTCTCAATTAGAAAGATCTGACTATTTGACACTAATTTCCTTATATCTCTGCAACCTGATGATGTAAACGTTTCAAAATATGAATTTTTCTATGAGATCAATTAGTCAACGTTTAACATATAAAACCATGAGGATGTAAAGATATGAGGATAAGAAATAAGTTTTGCTGTCAGTGTACAATGTACATTTTACATCCCCTTTATAAGCCCCTTTATAATAGGCTTAAAGGGGCTCTGTAAGCGTAATCTCAAGTGACCTTCCATAAAAATTCACAAGGATACTCTTTAAACCTTTATCGGATCAATAATGTGGAAGATTATGTCGTTTTTCTAGCTTGAATTTATTTCTGATAATTTCTCTATATTTTCCTGCAGTAGTAATATGCGAGTCACTTTGTAGAGATACTTGATCAGACAAAGCTTTTAAGGGTACCGTTGTGAATCGGGTATTGCCATCTTTGCATAAAGGATCACTTGGAAATTACATTTAGAGTGCCTTCTATATGATAATAACATTTCTGAATTTACAAGTAAATATATATAATTATATTTCAGTGTTAGTAGTGTACGGTGGAATACTTCAGGTGTTCCCTCCTATACATGCCTGGTGTGTAAGAAGTGGGTTCTTAGCACTACATTGAGAAATCATCTCAAGATTCATGATATTTCACAGGTAGCTGTAAAGTTAATAATTCTTATTGGCAGTGCGAAGGATCCAAATCGTATAGATACGGATCCGCCCTAAAAAAAAGGATCCTAAGCCAGGCCATGAAAATTTCTTAAAGATACTCTGATTTTTTGACCAAAAGAAGAATTTTCAAATTTTCTTCCTTTTTTATGCTAAAACTTGATGAACTATAAGATATAAGAAAAGGAAATAATCTCATCTTTCAAACAGAAGAGATTTGTGTTTTGAGAGCAGTTTTTGGTTTATGTTTTGCCCCTTGCATAGGTCATTTGTTTCAACTTTAAGTTTTAAGTTAAATATTTAATATTTAAGTGTGTAATGTTTCAGTTTAAGTATAGATGTGAAAGTTGTGATAAAAGTTATTGCACGAGTTCCTCCTTGTCCTACCATATCTCTACCTCCCATCCAACCCAACCAAGACTGAGATGTAACATCTGCCCTGCCAGGTTTAACACCTTGTCGGAGAAACAGGAACACTTGAAATCCTGCACTGATAAGAAGAAGGATTATTTTTCCTGTAAGTTTTGTTTCAAGAGGTTTAACCGAAAATCCAATTTAAACGCACACATGAGAATTCACCAGGGCGGGAGGAACATTAAACCTTTACTCAACCTTCCTTGTGATCAGTGTGGAAAACTTCTGGTAGGACGGAGAAACTGGTTAAAACATAATCAAACCTCACATAACATTCAGCCTTCTTGTAACTTATGCAGAAAAGAATTTAACACAGTTGATAGCCTGCTACAGCACATTAAAAAACATTGTGTCCAACAAAAAATAGAAAAAAAATGTGTCAAATGTTCAGTAACATTTTCATCCTCAGTAAATTCCACTCGGTTCTGCGACCTTTGCCGCAAAATATCTCCCACGGAAAGTGCTCTAACTAAAAGTAAATTAAAATGTGACAAGTGCGAGGAAGTATTTACTGACCTCAAGAAACTGAAAATACACAAGAAGAGTTCGGTTCACCAGAAAACAAAGAACTCGTTTCTTTACAAGTGTCAACATTGTTTAGCAGAGAAGAAACTTAACAACTTCAGTTCAGCTTCAAGATACAGGTAAATAAATTCATCAAATAGATTTTTTAAAAATTTAACCAAAAATATCCTTGTTCATTGATTCTTGTTTTCAGGCGACATTTGCAAACTCATAAATGTGTAACGGTTGTTATTGAAACCAAGAAGAAATGTACGGATAAAAATGATGAAGACGACGGAAAAGATATGGAAGTAGAAGGGTCTGGAGCATCTAGAGAATATGGAGAGATTAAATGTAAACTTTGCGCAAAAGATTCTCCAGCTGCTACTAGGGATTATTATAGTCGTCGTGCTTAATGCTCGTTTCATTATTATGTAATATCCCCCCCCCCCCATCCACCATTCCACGTTCTTTAATGTTAATCCTAATGTTCTTTAAAAGCAATTTTCCTAATTAAATCAACTATAGATATTCTCTGGTTAAGATTAATTCAGCATATCAGAAGATGGAATGAAAGCAAGATATTTTCCTGTCCTTCCTGCCCTAGACTCTTCTCTACTCAACAGGTATCTAGATTCTGCCTGTCCGTCTCTTTTTAAAATTTACTTTGTCTTTTAATTTTGTACGGCCGCGGTGCAACAAATTTTAGAAAGTCACGCTCCGGATCCCCCGCGTGTAGGAAGTCTACCGCATGCCATCTTCTTATTGTCAATTTTACGGAATTGTCAATGGTTTCTATGTAGTCTGTCCTAGCCCCAGTGCTACTTTTATATTTTTATGATAATCGAACCGCAGCGCTCAACCCCTCCCTCTTACCCTCAAATGCTGTATTGGCACAATCACACTTACAACAGTATTTACGTTTGCCTTTCGTTTAAGGTTATTGTTCTGTGAGATTGAGACCTTGCACGAAAGACAACCGTAAAAACATCATTTTAGGCTTTCTTTTGGAAGTCCAACCAAAAAATTACAATTTTCTTGTTTTAGATTCTTTCTGTTCATTCTCTGGTTCATACCAAAGAAAAACCTTTCAATTGTGATCTGTGTGGTGAAAGATTTACTCAGAAAAGCAGTTTACAAATGCACATAAAAAGACACAAGTCTGGAAGTTTAGACCCACAGGTTGAGTACTGTTTAGTCAGAAGATTTAATGATTATCCAACTTCTGTTATTTTTAGAATTTAATCTGCAAGGACTGTGGAAAGCAATGTAAGAATCTTGCTGGGTTCAAGAAACATATATTGTTCCATGCTAACTCGAGCAGAGTCAATGATAACCTGGAGAAACCAGGACTAGATAAAACAGATGGAGGACCTGGAGAACCAGGAGAACCTGGAGGTGTTCTTCTAGATTCTACGCTCAGTGGTCTATTCCGTCTGGACTCCAGCAGTTCAAGCTTTTTCGACCAGTTTCAGGTTGGTTTAGAGGTGTACTTGTAGTATCTTTAAACCTTTGTCTGATCAACGATGATATCCTTGTTTTTCTAGCTTAAAATTGGTGATTTTTAACTTTGAGATCTTTATAAAAGTCACTTTCGGATTTATGCAGCAAAACGCATGTTTTAACACTTTTTCAGATATCTTCCTTGTTATACATATATTGATTTAAAGTTACTGTTGTGAATCAGACATGTCATTCTGCGAATGAAAGGTCTCTTTCAATTACGCTTACAGTTAATGGACTTGTTCGCAAGTTCCTGAACTCTTTGTTTTTAGATATGTTTTTTAGGTCACAACTATCAACATTGATGGGATGGATCAGGATCTCAACTATAAAATTGATAATGCACCTGGATTAGCCTATAGGACGGAACATCTTCCTGGAGTAAACTATAGGTCAGATCCTCTTCAAAATAGTGACAACTTCAGAACAGAACCTGTACCTGCCTATAGATCTGAACCTGTACCTGGAGTGACCTTCAGGTCTGAACTCAACCTTGGAGCTAGCTATATAACAGATACCTTGGCTAATGAAGGGTTTTCCACTGATACTGGTGAATACAGAACTAATCTTCTACAGGGAGTAGAAGATCAATCCTCAGTTTTCTTCTCCTTGCCGAAAAGAGATGAAAATGTTTGCTATGAGTTGAAGGACGGAGAACTTGCTTTTGATCTCAAGGACGGAGCAGGACCGTCATATCCCTACAAAGACGCGGATAGTATGTTTTTAATTAAGGGTGGGCATGGAAACTTTATCAATAAGGATTCCGAAAGCTCCTTTGTAACTAAAGACGGATTGGGTGTTCCATATTCGATACCTGAAGGAGGGGTATCCTATACTCTTAAAGACGAAGATGGAATTTATTATACTTTAAAAGAGGGTGATAATTTGTCTTTCGCAGGCTCATTTCCTGTCTCTATCGAGCCGAGCTCATCTGTTAAAGATACCCAGTCATTCTCTTGTAGAAGTAAGCCAGGAGATTCTGTAGGTTTTGAAAGTTCAGAGTTTGAAGCGCAGAGAGCTGAAGAAGACGCAGCACTGCCGTTTCTTCTTGTGCGCCCAGTAGAAACGGAATCGGAAGCAAATAAAATTCAAGATTGCGACGGTGAGAGGGTTTCTGTTTATCAACTGAAGGAAGGAGAGGAACTTCTCTATAAAATACAAGTTGTGAATGATGTAAATTCAAAATGATAAGAATACTCATTATTGATCATTTTCTGTAATAAATCATATTATAACGAAAATTTATATTTTAAATATTTTTTATCCGTTTATTGCATAAGTTTCATTTTGATTTTGAGAAAAATGTTAAAGATAAAATCAGCATTTCTAATTTTTCCAGGTAATTTTTAGTTTTTAAAATGAAATCTAGAAAAGTGTGTTACTGGCAGAGAGCACCTTTCTCTACAGCTATGACTTAAGTTTAAAAATTAGAAAATTCAATAGTTAAAAGCAGAAATTTTCTGGATTAATCAATAGATCTTAAAAAGTCCTTGCCGAGCCCTATTATGTAAAAATTCCATTACATTAGTTTGTGTAATTAGACCTGTAAAAGGTGTTTGACTCAAGAAAATACAAATATTTATTGACAGCTTGACAACTAGAATATTCATGACAGGAATTTGACGTCATTTTTTTATTTTTAATATAAGTTAACTTTTAGACCAATCGTTTTAGGGTTATAGTTATTGAAATTTTAAAAATATCTATCACTTTTTTATATTGTTATAAAACAAAAATTCATTGCAAAAATCCTCTGTTAATGAAAAACGACATTGAGGAAAATACCCAAATATATACTTCCTTCATATTATACCGTAAAAAGAGATAAATACCATGCGTAAAATTGGCTTAATGGGACAGGCACTCAATCCCGATTCACTGAGATTGATGGTTGACAGTAATTATTATTCTTATTATGATTTTACAGTGTGCCCCACGAAACATGACAATTAGTGAATGGTTTTGAATGTCTTCTTCCATATATTATATTATATATTAAAAACTTTTTCCAGTTTATTTCGTTAACACAATCTTTTACTTAAATATATTTTACTTTGAAATCAATTTTAATGTAAAATAACTGCCATGTTATATTTCATATTAACGATAATTAATCTCTTTTGTATCAAAGAACTTAACAAATTATGGAAGAAGACATTTAAAACTATTCACCAACTGTCATGTTTCGTGGGACACCTTGTATTAGTTTCATTTAAGCAAAGGAAATGAGTTTCCACAAACTCTGATTTTTAATCTCCATATCTTTGCAGCATAATGTAGTAGACCTTAGATATTTCCAATTATCAATTATATTAGATTAAAAAATGGTTTGCTATATTTATTTAGACTAACAATTAGATAGAGTTGGTTGCACCATGTGATATAAGTCTGTTCTTTCTCTGATTAGTTGGTTTAAACTACAATCAACTTTACACTGCAGAGACTGTGTTAGGGAACATTGAAGAAAACTCGGAGAACAAAATCACGTGATTTCATCTGATTTTGTTAGATTACATACCTTAAAGAACATCTTATATTAATAAAATAAGATAGGGCAAGTTCATGTGAGACTCATAAAACTTTTGATAAGGAAGATGACATTTAAGTGATATCTTATGTGTATTTATCGTTATACTGGCATATAAGTAGATAGTTTTACCAGAAGCTAATAATTCTGATGTCGGTCTCTGTAGTGTGTATGTTTCTACAATGTAATTAGACTATTTAAAATAAAATAAAAACTTAATTTTAACTGTCGTCTTCCTATTCCACAGTTTTATCGATACCACTAGAAATCACGTAAATAAATAAAAGAAAACATGCCTGTTACATGGCGCACGAGGGAGGGAACCTCCGAACGCCATGAGCCTCCGCTTTTCAGACACGAGCCTCCTAGATTTGCTAGGCAGACCGAGCTATTCAGCAATGAGCATGCGCAATACAATAAAATGTGGCATTTTCTTCAAAGCAATTCAAAATAGGAAAGAATTTAAAATCAAAAATAATAAACTTATTTACATTAGCAAAAAAAACGCCATAAGTAGAGGTTTCTGGACATTTAGTCCAGTGTGGTTTACATAATTCTGAAATATTGAATGTTGTGTAATATGTTCAAAATCAAATAATTTTTTAACATATTTATGTACAGGATATACAAGAATGCTGCTAAAGAATATTTATGTACAGTATAGACATGAATGCCGCTAAAGAATATTTATGTATAGGATATGCAAGAATACTGCTAAAGAATATTTATGTACAGGATAGACAAGAATGCTGCTTAATAATATTTATGTACAGGATAGACAAGAATGCTGCTTAATTATATTTATGTACAGGATATACAAGAATGCTGCTAAAGAATATTTATGTACAGGATATACAAGAATGCTGCTAAAGAATATTTATGTACAGGATATACAAAAGTGCAGCTAAAGAATATTTATGTACAGGATATACAAGAGTGCTGCTAAAGAATATTTATGTAGAGGATATACAAGAATGCTGCCAAAGAATATTAATGTACAGGATATACAAGAGTGCTGCTAAAGAATATTTATGTATAGGATATGCAAGAATACTGCTAAAGAATATTTATGTACAGGATATACAAAAGTGCTGCTAAAGGATATTTATGTACAGGATAGACAAGAATGCCGCTAAAGAATTCAGCGCGGCATCAACGCATGAAGTTACCTTAGTTCAAGTCAATTCAAAACTTTAATAAACGATAACTTTTTTACCATTAAATTATGCACTAAAACAAATTTGTATTTGCATTCTTCAGGACATCCTGAGTTCAGATGATTTCGAGATGATTTATACAAATCAAAGTTTTAAACCTGATAATCCTGACATATCAAGGTAAATCCTTTTATTAGGTTTCAGGTTTGATCAAATCTTGATTTTATTGGACAAATATTGAACTTTAGTCCACGTCCAGTGAGTCCCAATAAATGTAAAACTAAATAACTATTTTTATTTAATTTTGTGACTTCCTTATTCTGGCAAACCTATTGGAGTCTTCACCTCCAATCCTACTCCTATTTTAGTCTGTTTACCTCCACCCTGCGCCCTACAACCTGTTATCAAATTGGAGGTCGAGAAAAAATACGATTTTGTTTTAATTTTTCATGCCTTCTATCTTTTTGTATTTCAGACGAGAGATCGTTGACAAGGATTGGTTAGATTACCCCATAGTCATTCTCAACAACAGCAACCTCATGAGTTATATCCCCAACCTTCGCAACAACAGTTACAACCTTAGCAACATCAGTCCCAACAGCAATCTCATGAGTAATATTCCCAACCTTAGCAACAACAGTTACAACCTTAGCAACATCAGTCCCAACAGCAATCTCATGAGTAATATCCCCAACCTTAGCAATAATAGTTCCTAAAGCAACCTCATGAGTAATATCCCCAACCTTAGCAATAATAGTTCCAAAAGCAACCTCATGAGTAATATCCCCAACCTTAGCAATAATAGTTCCAAAAGCAACCTCATGAGTAATATCCCCAACCTTAGCAACAATAGTTCCAAAAGCAACCTCATGAGGAATATCCCCAACCTTAGCAATAATAGTTTCAACAGCAACCTCATGAGTAATATCCCCAACTTTAGCAACAATAGTTCCAAAAGCAACCTCATGAGTAATAGCCCCGACCTCAACAAGAATAGTTTCAACAGCAACCTCATGAGTAATATCCCCAACTTTAGCAACAATAGTTTCAAAACCAACCTCATGATTAATAGCCCCAACCTAAGCAACAATAGTTTAAACAGCAACCTCATGAGTAATAGCCCCGACCTCAACAACAATAGTTTCAACAGCAACCTCATGAGTAATAGCCCCAAGCTCAAAAACAATAGTTTCAACAGCAATCCCATTGATACCTCAGTAGTATTCTCCTCTTGATCATAGTTTTGTTAATGCTCCATGGAGTATTGCAAGTTCTAGTAAATTTTCTTTTCCTTTACCAAAAAGAATAATAAATCCAACCATAACTACCAAACCTACACCGACAATCCCACCTTAGCTTTAGTTCTTTCAAATTTCTTGAAAAGAGAGAGAAGTACATTTTGATCTAGAGTTTGACTATTTTGCGTTCATGAAAAAATCCACAATTCCTCTTTAAATAGGAAAAAAATAAAACACAAAAATTGAACAGAAAGTTTTAGAGAAGCACAATTTACTTCTTACTCTGTAGTTGAGCAGAAACCGAAAAGAGTTGAAATTATTAACGCAAAATGAGGCGTTCATGAAAAAATCCACAATTCCTCTTTAAATAGGAAAAAAATAAAACACAATTTAACAGAAAGTTTTAGAGAAGCACAATTTACTTACTCTGTAGTCGAGCAGAAACCGAAAAGAGTTGAAATTATTAACGCAAAATGAGGCACTGTAGATTGTAGGGTTCAAGGAACATGAAGTAGAAGAGACAAAAGAGAAAGAAGAAGATAGTGGAGAAGAGGAGGAAGATTGTATTAATCCTTATTCTTCAAATAATTAGATATTAATAAATACATTATTTCTAGGCTGTATAATGTATTAAAAACTCTTCATGTAAGGTTGTAGATTGTACATGTATTCATTTTTTAAGAATAGATGTACATTTTTTTCTGGTATCCTAACTTGAGTTTATCTTTTGATGATAAACAAATCTAACTTGATTTTATCTTTTATGATAAACAAACAAATAAAGAAAATGGTTTTTAACATTTTTTAAAACATTTTCTCCATATTTTTTCGTAAACAATGATTATTTTCGATTGCATCAAGAGAGAAAGAAAGTATTGTTACAATTCAACAATTTTCCAGACCCAAAACCACGATATTTTCAACATTGTTGCTTAGATATAAATTTGTAAATCTGACCTTATATAATTTATAAATGGAGGGTCACCTTTTGGATGAAAATTTATTATTAAATAAATTTAATCTTTTTCACCCCAAAAAATGATGTATCCATAGAGTTGTATCTCAGTTTGTGGGTTGGGAGATGGATTTGACTGTCGTTGTTTAAAAAAGTCTTTAATTTGACAATAAAAGATTAAAACCCCGATTTTACGACAAAAATATTTAATTGGGGTTAGAAGATTTTTGCTTCTTGCTGTTCTTATTTCTGATTTACTTACTTTAGGATTAATTTGTGACAGCGGATGGGGGGGGGGGGACACGACATGCTAAACTGAGCTTTAGATAAACTTAGGGAACAAAAAACCGCGAAAGATTTAATC